AGTATGACGTTGTGAAGCGTTTTTGCTCGGTCTAGGCAGTCAAGGCTTTGAGTACTTTCATTTGCTGCATCGGTAGGTGTTTGCCTTTTGCTTTTTTTTCTTCCCTTATTCAACCGTTTTTTTCTGATCTAAGTTCGTCTGGCAAGTTTCAGTTTTGGTTATGCCAACATTGTTGCTTTTAGCACACACACACACACACACACACACACACACATACACACACACACACACACACATGTGTGTGTGTATATATATATATATACATATATATATATATATATATATATATATACATACCATAATATATATATATATATATATATATATATATATATATATATATATATATATATATATATATATATATATATATATATATATATATATATATATATATATATATATAATAGGTAATCTATCCGTTGGTATATAATCCGGGTGGTATCCTAGTAATATTAGTTGTTAAAACTGATCCAGAGAGAGCTCGATGTATTTATTATAACAGAGCATATGTATTATTTACAGCAAAAAAAACAAGGTAATTTGAGGTAATTTTTTTTTTTTTTATATATATATATATATATATATATATATATATATATATATATATAAAATAAATATATAACAGTGTGCAGCTTATATTTTATGACATAAATAAACAATTTATACAAAGAATTAATTATCAGTCTTAATGTGTTTAATGGCGAAATCACTTCGCTGACAAGACTTAAGGAGACATTAACTTACTATCAATTCCTTGAATAATAAAATCCTTATATTCGAATTGTCGGACTGAAGACACATGCCAAGTACTTTTGACAATTTCAAATTGTCATCTTCAGGGCGCAATTTTCCCATACATAGGCAAACACTAGGACGAAATATATGAAAACATTTTTACTCTACTAAGTGGATTATACTTAAGTCCATGTCACTTTAACAAATAAACACATAGAAAATTTCGTGAATTTTTCACTTTTCAAAATTCAAACAAAATTCTCACTTGATTAACTTGAATAAGAACTCTAGCGTTGCGGCATAGATTTAACTGTCAGTAAAAAGCAAAATAAAAAAAAAATAACATCTTTCGATCTACATTAATCATTAATAATAAACTATTCTGAAAATTAACTAAAATGATTAGAAGAGATTAGATAAAAGTGTCACTGAATAGATAAACGCCATCGTGTTACTGAAATCTTCACAAGGTGAACGCAGGGTGATATTAGAATTAACCACAATTTAATTTGAACAGGAGTAGAGGTTTATCCCTTGTTTCCTGTTTAGCATTGGGCTTCTGGTTCCCTCTAAAAAGTCTCCTTCTAATGACTCCGCCTGAACTCTGAAATTTTATTCACTAATTATTTCTTTTTTCTCCTCAATAGAAGTAGATATTTTTGCCCATCGCACGTTTAAACCCCTCCCTGATCTTTTGAACAGGAGTAGAGGTTTATTCCTTGTTTCCTGTTTCATTCTCTTTCACACCCAATAGCCCTTTGCAAATGAATTAGGTGAATTGATTTAAAAATAGAAATTTAACCAAGGCTTTAATTTCGTGATAGGAAACGAGAAAAAACAAAGAGAAAGTGAACACAAATCCAATAACTACATGACACTAGTGTAAATTCCAGAATTTTGAAAATTACCAGGTGACTCCATGATTCAGCTGAAGTTTTGAATTAGACTTCAAGATGCAGCTATAGGTTCAACAAATTGGACTCCGTGATTCAGCTGAAGATTCAAGTTATTTCCATAATTCAGCTGAATGTTCAAATTGGATTCCGTGATTCAGCTGAAGATTCAAGTTAATTCCATAATTCAGCTGAATGTTCAAATTGAACTCCGTGATTCAGCTGAAGATTCAAGTTAATTCCATAATTCAGCTGAATGTTCAAATTGAACTCCGTGATTCAGCTGAAGATTCAAGTTGGACTGTAAGATTCAACTGAAGGTTCAAGTCAATATTACCCGAAAAGTAAATTTGGTCAGGAACAGAGATATGAAATTCTGAAACATCTATCAAGTAGGCCTATTTACGAATCTAGGTCAAGAAGATTTTGATAAGCGAATTTTCACACCAGATTATTATTATTATTAATTCATTTCCTTTGATTTCTGGTGTCTACTCATTTCTTTCCGGGTCTCAACCAGAAGCGTCATGATGTTTTCCAATAAGCAATTGAAAAAAAAACAAAAAACAAAACAAAACAAAACACATATTTTACATAAACAAAGCCCTCCGTAAGGTGTCGGCTGTACTCGTGAGAACATTGTTTTTTTGTATTTCTTTAAAGCATGAGCTTCAATAAGTCTACTGGAATCTTTTCCAATTAATCCGAGGGCTCCAACTATAACAGGGATTATTGATGTTCCCATGTAGCACATTTTTGAGATTTTGATTTCAAGGTCCTTGTATTTTGATAGCTTTTTGAAGATCTTCAAAGATACATTGCAGTTCGCAGGGACTGCCATATCAATAAGGAGGCAATTTTTTGTTTGCGCTCTCTAATAACGATGTCTGGGCGAGTAGGTTTGATTGATCTGTCTGTGTGTATTGTGTAGTCCCATAAAATTGTTACATGTCCTATCTCCGTAACCGGATATGCGTGGTGCTCATACCAATTATTATTATTATTATTATTATTATTATTATTATTATTATTATTGTGGGAGAGAGCAACAGGCCAATAAATTGATGCTGGGGTATAAATATACGAAGCCCATCAGAGCACCCAGTCTTATAAGAGTACAAGTATACCAGGCACATGCACCACAGCCAAATGTGCCCTATATGGTGACAAATTTTGATAAAAACAGCGCGCACCCTTGTAGGTGGGACCGAGTTAGAAATATCTTCAGAACGGGTAATTTAGTGTCGCCATTTTAGTGTTGCCAAGTATCTACACGTGACTCTCAAGTTACCTGGACTGTCTTATCCATCGAACTTTTAGAAAAGAAACCAACCCTCTTGACATACAGGCATGATGCTCCCCCATTGCTCCTGCTGATGAACATTATTATTATTACTTTTATTTCCTTTGATTTCTGGCGTTTACACATTTCTTTCCGGGTCCCGCCCAGGGACCTAAGGTTAGAAATGCCATCATGGCACTTTCCACTGACAAAAAGAAAAAAAATACATAGATAAAGCCCTTCGTAAAGTGTGGGCTGTACTTGTCAGAACAATTTCTTTGAGGTATGGACTTCCATGAACCCCTTCAATTAGTCTACTAGAATATTTTCCAACCAATCTTAGGGCTCCAACTACAACAGGGGTTGTTGATGTTCCCGTGTGCCACACTTTTGAGATTTCTGTTTCAAGGTAATTGTATTTTGACAGCTTTTTGAATATCTTCAAAGATACATTGCAGTCTGCAGGGACTGTCATATCAATAAAGAGGCCCTTTTTTTTGTTTGTGGTCTTTAATAACAATATCTGGGCGGTTGGCTTTGATTGTTTTGTCAGTGTGTATTGTGTAGTCCTATAGAATTGTAACAGGTCCTATCTCCGTAACCGGGTCTGGGTGGTGTTCATACCAGTTTCTTTCAGTTTCCTTCCCGTAGAAGTTGCAAATTTTCCAGTGCAGATATTGGCCCACTCTGTCATGCCAGGTTTTATATTCAGTGGGTGCCAATATCGTGCAACTTGATACAAGACGATCAATCGTTTCTTGATATTTATCACAGAATCTGCATTTTGGGCTAACAATATTTTGGTATATGTGCTTGATAATTCCTAGTTAACAAGCATTGGTCCTGTACAACAAGGATAAAACCTTCAGTTTCAGCTTTCAACCCTGCACTACGTAGCCACTGATGGGTACAGGTTTTGTCTGCGTCAGCTTGTTTGGTACGGGCAGAGTATTGGCCATGAAGCGGTTTATCTTGCCATTGTTTCTGTATTTGGTCGGTTGCATTTGTCTTTGCTTTCTTTTTTAAGTATTTTGCAGCTTCAGCCGGCTTACTGTGCTTTACTAGTATTTCTGCGCCCATTTGAAACTCCATTTTGAATTTGTTGGCTTCCTTTATTACGGAGTAAAAACGCTTACTACTTTCATGTTCCTTGACACATACCATCATCCAATCTTATGTATTATTATTATTGCCGAGCAACATAAATTTACCTGGAATAGGTGTTTTAGCTGATAGCAATAAATCAGAATTTGACGTATCAGTGGAATAAAGATTCAATAAAAACCATTTGGAACTTTAACCGTATGTAGCCATTTTTTTTGAGTCAATCTAATGTGGGGGTCGGCAACTGTTTGGAGAGAGCGGGGCATAAAGCTATGTGAAAGTGACAATTATAAGCATCATTATTTGGAGCCTTTTTTTTTAAATTATTTCATACCAAGCCACTAAAGTCACTAAGACGAAAATGGTTACTGAGTGTGAGAGACTATGAGAAAAAAAAAGTATTAAGGAGAAAGGACAATAAAAGATCAGGAATGAAATAAGAAAAAAGAATATAACGATTATCATCGCATTTAAATTTTTGAAGGTCAAAGTTGACTGGGGAGCAAGAAACCATAAAATCTCGATAGAAGAAACTGTTAATATAGAACTTACGGTTACATATTTCAAGTGTAAAATGACGAGAAAATACGAGATTAGAAATTCGGAACAAATAGAAATTCAAAAACGAAGCAAAAATTATAGATGACATTGAGGAGACCGAGTGGCATTAAATCTCCTCAATGTCTAAGTACCTTTCTCAATTAGGTTTGATTGATTTGCTCTTTTTTACGTCTTATCAACCTATTGCTGATTATTTAAAGCCAGAAAATATTTTTAGATCGCAAGAAGCTTTGGGGAATAATAATGATTTACTTATAAAAGTCTTACTATTTAACCCATAGTTGGGATGAAAAGTGGTCGATTAATACGTTTCCCAAGGTTATTTACGCGAACGTGTATATAATTAACCCGTCTGGAATTAGAGCCCGGCTCTCCGATTTCTAATTCTTTGCCGTTATCCATTACACCACCCGAGTATCCAGGCCTACAGCACTTGTTATTCCCAAGCATTCGCCTATTTAAATACTGACCAGACTCAACGTTGCTTAACTATGATGATCTTACGGGAACTGGCGTTTCAACGTGATATGGGCGTAAGTCTATCTCAATTAGGATTTCACATGTGAGACTTTAAATCAACAGAAACCCTAATCCCCCAAACCCTGCTTATCAAGACAGACAAATCCACGTAATAATCACAGTGAAGTGTTATGTACACCAACCGAATAGGTATCTTTCCCAGGAAAAATGTTTTTCAACAAAACAATACAGAGGTTGACATTTTATGAAAATATATATTCCATAAAATAAGAATGAAAAATAATAGTCTATCTGTGGAAAAGGCACGCCTTTCGTTAGAGTCCGAATCCGGGACTACATTTCTGAACAAAAATAGTAATAGTTAAATTTCCAGATCAATTCGGTGGACAAGACAGATTGATATAAAATGACAATTGGAAAAAAAAATCTTAGATTTTGCCGACGCGTTTCGTCTTCTGACTTTTTCAAGGCAAAAATGAAATCGAAATATTTTTGTTGTTATAGTTACATTAAAAAATCCAAATTTAAAAAGATAGACGCTTCTGTCTAAACCTTTTTTTCTGGTTAATGTAAATTACCTTTATAGTAAGGGATTTTTTTCCATGTCGACAATATAGTTAAATTCCTAGATAATAAAAAAAATATACCAATCTGTCTTGTTCACAGAATTGATCTGGGAATTTAACTATATTGTCGACATGGAAAAAAATCCCTTACTATAAAGGTAATTTACATTAACCAGTAAAAAAGGCTTAGACAGAAGCGTCTATTTTTTTAAATTTGGATTTTTTAATGTAACTATAACAACAAAAACATTTCGATTTCATTTTTGCCTTGAAAAAGTCGGAAGACGAAACGCGTCGGCAAAATCTAAGATTTTTTTCCAATTGTCATTTTATACCAAAAATAGTAATACCTACTGACCTACTGGAGAGGAGCGCTTCTTGTTGGGGTTGAGTCCATGTGCATAGACGAAAGAAAACAGAAAAGAGAGTTTCTTTTTGAAAGCATCTATTTTAAAGTTGAGACATCAGCTGCCTCTGCTACTATGTATTTCCTCTAGAGCCAGTTCTGATACTATCATAGTTTAATCTGACTGCGAGAACAATTTAGTTGTGTTTTAAGGGAGAAGTTTTTATTTCTACTATATCCACGTATCTCAATAATGGGATGTCGTTAGTTGCTATCGTTATTTTACATCCCAGAGGAACTTTGCCTAATAACCAATCATAAAGTTATTTTTCTTTAAATGAACGTAGACGATCATGGCTCTCCGCAAACTCTTTTTCTTCTTTCATATCTGTGAATTGCCATGACTTCTTTAGAGAGATATAGTGCAATGGTTTCCTGATGTCTTCCTCACGGATTTGAATTCAAAGTTGCCCTTCTCCCAGACTTGTTGTCTTACTGTTGTAATGGAATGTCCCACACTCCCTACTGCATATGTGGACTGACTATATCAGTAGATATATAGAGTAAGCACAGGATATACCTGGTGGACTTGCTTCGGCAATTAGTTGGAGATTCGTCTCCAGCTAAGTTAGTCGAACTCTCTGCCTTCGGGCAGAGAAGAACCCAGACGAAGCTATGCCGAAAGGCAGAGTCTCGTCTGGGGTGGTAGACAGCTGCCTGATCCCGTTTTTTACAGGCTTTACGGGGAATTTTTGCCCGAGCCTACGGGCTCGGATACCCCACGTTAAATTCTACCTTGTGTCACATCTGAACGCGTGGAGCGGTTGGCAAATATCCTTGCTTCGGCAATTAGTTGGAGATTCGTTTCCAACTAAGCTAGTCGAACTCTCTGCCTTCGGGTAAAGAGGAACCTAGACGAGGCTATGTCGAAGGGCAGAGTTTCGTCTGAAATGATAGAGAGGTACCCGGCCCCGTTTTTACAGGGTCTACGGGGAATTTTTGTCCGAGTACACTGGCTCAGTTTTAACCCCGCATTAAAAACGGCCTTGTGCCACATGCTGCCTCGCGGGGAGGTGAGGTAAATAACCTTGCTTCGGCAATTAGTTGGAGATTCAACGAGGCTATGCCGAAGGGCAAAGTCTTGTCTGGGGTAGTAGACAGGTATCCGACCCCGTTTTTTACAGGGTCTACGGGGAACTTTTGTCCGAGCCTACGGGCTCGGTTTTTACCCCACATTAAAACCGGCCTTGTACCACATCCTGCCACGCGGGAAGGTAAGGTAAATATCCTTGCTTCGGGAATTTGTTGGAGATTCGTCTCCAGCTGTGCTGGTCGAACTCTCTGCCTCCGTGCGGAGAGGATCCCCAGACGAGGCTATATCGAAGGGCAGAATCTCTTCTCTGGAAACAACTACACGACCTCGTTTTATACGGGGGATTTTTGGCCGAGCCTAGGAGTTCGGATACTCCACGTTGAATTCGGCTTTGTGGCACATCTGACCGCGTGGAGCGGTTGGTAAAAATCCTTGTAATTACTAGCTTGCTAACCGATTCCCTGTCTTTCAGTAGTGTATTCTCTTTTATAATAAAACTCTCTTTCATTCATCTACGCTCGTGTTGCCGTTCCTTTCACTCGAGTACCACCTTTGTCCGTTTGTAACCTCTTTAAGGATACAGCAATGGCGACGAGGATTTGATTCAAACTCACAGTGAGAAAAGCCCCAAAATACTGTTTGTAAAACATATAACATTAACCAAGGTTAAATGGCCCAGTTTACTATTTACTCATAGCTAGTTGAAGAGCTAGATTCATGTCTTTCCCTGGAGAATTAGTGTGAAGTGAACGCGTCAGCCTTAGCTGATTTGAACCCGGTCTGCCGATTTTCTTTACAGCGCTGATAACCGTTACGCCACCCACACGTCACGTCAGAAAATTATTATTTCCTATATACTGCAGTCTACCTTTTTGCTTTCTTTCTTTGTCTGTAGTCTGCTGGGCATGCGAAGGAATTCTAATGAGTGTTAGACTTAGAAAGCAATTTGATCGTTGGAATTTTATCGCAGAGACGAATGAGAAATAGTTACTAGTCTTTTCTTTTCGCCTTCTTCTTTACTGGGGGTGGTGGCTTATACTTACTTAACTTGGATCTTTCTTTTTATCGAGTTTACCTCTGCAAAGATGTAAAGGCACTAAGATACAAGAGGTTACTTGGTGTGGAAGAATTAGAAAACCGAAACATTAATAATGAGAGAGAAGAAGAGTAATCAGGAGAACAGTAGATAGCTATTGACATTGCATTTAAATTTTTGAAGATTAAAGTTGTCTCGAAAACATGGCACCGGAAGGGAGTTCCACAAGCGAGAATTGCGAGAAAAGAAACTGTTAGCATAGAACTTGCGGTTCCAGCTCAGCTGCAAACTGCTGAGATCTCGACACCAGTATAGTACTGCGCGTAAATTCAAAATGTCTAATTACCATAGCGAAGATTTACTGTGAAAGTTTTTATAGAAAAGGCACAGGGAGGCAACCTTACTGCTTTTTCATTTTCTTGTGAAGTTGCTTCTTTCTTATCTCATCACAACCGTCCATTTTCTCCCCTCTCTCTTGCCTTTCTTTTCACTTTCTTCTTTTTTGCCTTTGTTCAGATCAGTTTTTTTTTTCAATTCCTCTATACAGGTTTTTTTAAAACATATCAAGGCAGTAAAGCCACTAAGACACAAAGGGTTACTTGGTGTGGAAGAACAAGAAAAAAAGAAGAGAAACATTAGGGAATGAAAAGAATAGAAGAGTAATGAAGACATTTTTTAGTATTTTTTCGATCTTTTTGTCACATTTACCGATTAATGTGTACTTATTTATCTAACGATTCCATATTCGATTTTCTTGTCTGTACCTAAAAACATTAAAAAAGAAGTTTATTATTTTTAATACATAGCTCACGATGGAGGTATTTATGGTGGCCTTAATCGCATTCAAATTTCTTTTTCAGAAATGCGTTCCGAACCTTTGAACATCAATGGAGTTAAGAACCAAACGGAAAAACGAAAAGGTTCCATGAATATTTTCGTTCCCCTCATTGAACAGATGAAGGCACAAATTGCATCGAAAGATCCATGGTTTTCACTGGAATTTTTCCCTCCAAAAACTATGGAAGGAGCGTATGATTTGTTTCAGAGGTTCGTTTTAAACATCTGGGAATTCGTTTTAAACGTCTGGAGATTCGTTTTATACATCTGGGGATTCGTTTTATACATATGGACATACATTTTATATATTTGGATATTCGTTTCATACATCTGGAGATTCGTTTTAAACATCTGGGGATTCGTTTTATACATCTGGAGATTCGTTTTAAACATCTGGAAATTCGTTTCATACATCTGGAGATTCGTTTTAACCATCTGGAAATTTGCTTTAAACATCTGGAAATTCGTTTTATACATCTCTCTTATTTTTAATGAAGAAGCGAATTTTAAAAACTAAGTAAATACCAAAAAGTAAATAAATCTTAAGTACATTTTCTGATAAAAATGAATGACTTCACTGAACTGAATATTAACCAAATCAGACTGTAGCCAACTCCATCAAAATAAAATAAAATTAAATGAACACTTACGTTTTTTATGAGTCTCCTTTTGAAAATAAAGAAAAAAAATAATGAGTTACAATTTGGATTTTTATTTTAACTGCTGAATAGTTTGGATATCGCTGACTCTAAAATATTTATTTTATAACTTGGCTTTTGTGATATCTGTTTCAAAAGAAAACTGCTGATTATGAAACAGCAACTACCCTTGGGAAAGGTATGAGCTCGTTTCCTGTTCCCAAACAGTGGAATTTGTATCTGGAAAATCAGTGTTATTCCAAATAATTTGTCATTCACTTGCAAGAAAAGGATTATACTTACAATTAATCTAGACTCCTATAATCCAGAATATGTTTTGGCTTTAAATAACCCACAATAAGTCGTAAAAAATAAGTCTACAGGATTTGAGAGCTGTTGCTCCATACTCCTCAGGGAGTCTACAAGACTCGAGAACTGTTGTCCTATACTCCTTAGGGAGTATATGAATAGAAAGCCATGGCCCCATACTCCTTAGGGAATTTGCAGGAGTGGAGAGTTATTGCATCATACTCCTCGGGTAGTCTACGATATTTGAGAGCTGTTGTCCTATACTCCTTAGAGAGTCTAAGAAACTAGAGAGTTGTTGCACCATATTCTTCGGGTAGTTTACTAGACTTGAGAGCTGTTGCCCCATACTCCTCGGGTAGTCTACATGACCCAAGAACTGTTGCCCTATACTCCTTAGGGAGAGTAGGAATAGAAAGCCATGTCCTCACACTCCTTAGAGAGTTTGCGGTAGTTGAGAGCTGTTGCCCCATACTCCATCTGGGGGTCTACGGTACTTGAGGGTGTCAGAAAGATTTTGAAATCAGTTTTACCTATTTCGAAATCTTATTTGCTCTTAGCTGTTTGTCCATATTCAATTCTAAGAATTTAAGTCTTCATTTCCACAAACTAAAAATAACTTTTCTCTTTTGTTTTTCTTCCTTTGACTTTAGGATGAAGATTTTAGCGCAGGGACAGCCTTTGTTTTGTGATGTCACATGGCATCCATCAAATCAGCCTGGCAATATGGAGAAACCAACAAGCTCCATGTGTGTGGCGAGCACAATGCTTAACTACCTCAACATTCAAACCATGCTTCATGTGACTTGTTGCCATCAACCAAAACAGAACATAAAAGAACATTTAATAACCGCCAAAAAACAAGGAATAAGAAATATTTTGGCTTTACGAGGAGGTTTGTATAATTTTTTTGCATTTACATTATCTTGATAACTTCGTCGTCGTTACGATGACAATGTTTACAGATTTTGCTTTTCAAAACATTTGTTTTTAGAAATCTTATAATTCTATGAAAATTAATTTGAGCTTAAGATGATCAGAACTAATTTACGAATGCCATAAAAATGACGTCATCTTTTAGTAAGACATTATTATTACTTAAAGATTTCAAATGATATTCTTTAAACATATTTTTCCAGTCTTTTATTTATTTATAAGTATTAATTATGTAGAGGTGTCAGTTTATAACTTAATAACAATGGAAAAATGATCCCTCTCTTCATTTCTAGTGGAATCCTATATTAAAATTAGTTTGCTCATGTTGCCAAAAAAATGACGGCATATTTTGTAAGATCCTTAATATTATTTTATCCTGTAAATATATTTTCCAATTATTATATTAATATGAAATAATTTTTATTGGGGATCAGTTTATTATATAATAACATTCGAAAACCGGTACTAGAATGACAAAAGTGATCTGCATCTACGCCGAACAGTAAAGAAGTTCGTTTTAGATCCTATCTACGCCGTATCCTGGACAACAGGATCGTAACAGCACTGATATGGGTTTTAGACACCATCGATATGGATCGTATCCTGGACACCACTGATATGGGTCTGATATCCTGGACACCACTGATATGGATCGTATCGTATCCTGTGCCACTCTGATGTGGGTCGTATCCTGGACACCACTGATATGGATCGTATCCTGGACACCACTGATATGGATCGTATCCTGGACGCCTCTGATATGGGTCGTATTCTGGACACCACTGATATGGATCGTATCCTGGACACCACTGATATGGATCGTATCCTGGACGCCTCTGATATGGGTCGTATTCTGGACACCTATGATGTGGGTCGTATTTTGGACTCCTCTGATGCGGCTCGTATCCTGGATGCCTCACATATGGATCGTATCCTGAACATCTTTGATTTGGGTTTGTGTCCCGTATCAGAAGAAAATTTATAAAATAGCCGTCTTTGTTAAGATAAGAATTTTTAGACTTTGTGCCACTGATGTAATATCCAGACGTGGCAAAACATGTGGAGACCAATAATTCGGCCTTTTTTTAAAAGACATCCATAAGGAAAATCCTACGAAATAGGTAAGAGAATACATGAAGACCGATTTTGTAGCGGTTCCTCTAAAAGACAAATACCGGGTCACTTACTTTTTGGAGGGCCGAGAATACACAGCAGGTTGCCGCCGCAAACGTATTTCCAAAGGTAACCACACTTGCAACAGCGGCCAACGAGATAAAGACTACCCTCAAAGTCTGACACGTAAACTTAAAACTACCCAGTCGAACTTTTTCTCCAACCCGATTTATAAAAGACACGCCACAATCAAAGTCAATTACATAAATATATTTGTTTATATCTTTTATTCTGTGTTCCTTTATTTCAATTAAGAATCTCTGGCGCTTCTTCACACTGTATTATATTATATGAAGAGGAATGTCAGGAGGAGACAATCAATGCTAATAGATTATTTCAATTCTTTGTAATTACTGTTTGCAGATTCCTTACCTGGGCAGGAATGGAATCCGAAAGACAATGATTTAACACACGCAAAAGATTTTGTAAAATTTATCAAAGATGAACATGAAGATCATTTTGTTATTGCAGTTGCTGGTGAGTTGGTTTTATTTTTTTAATGTTTTTATTGACTTTTGTAATTAGATGGCATTAGGGGAATTTAGTTTTAACTACCAACATTCAATATCACATTATTTTTAAAAAAATTGACACATTTATGTTTATTAATTCTAGTATTCTAAGGACATGTAATTGGTTTAATGGTAGGCGGTACGGAAGGAAAAATTGACAAGCCGGTTTCGAATTCCAATCAAGCTTGTTATATTCTCTTTCACACATATACCCTTGGGAAAGGTAGGAATTCATCTCTTCTCACCCTTCTGCTATGGGTTAAGTAGCAGGGTGTTATAGTGGAACACACCTATTTTATAGTTAATAGACTCTCCTACCTATAATAAGTAGGAGTAGTAGGAGTCGCTCGCGGAGTTGGTCAGTCAGTCGATGTCGGACGACCGTTAGTCGGATATTATAATATCAGTATTTCTCTGCGTCATTACCTATTATATCAAGTTCCTAACGTTTTGTACGTCGAACCTATTTTAGGATCGACTGAGTACAAATACAAGCCTCCGCTGTGAAACTACTCTACAACACAGGGTAAACGGGAATATTTAGGTTTGATTGCAAACTAGTCTAAGAGAATGACAGCTCTGATTTCAAAAGAGTATGTAACCCAGCGTGAATCACACAATGACTGTGACCTTGACTGCGGTTCATGCAATATGCTAACCTTGAAACTTGAGAAAATAAGCAGCATTTTCTGTATATTATGCTTTTTTATCTTTAAAAAAGCTTTATACTATTTATGAAGAAAGTCCTATGAATCACCGAATGTGACAAAAGGGAACATTTCACATTGAGCGACATTCAACCTTCATACCTGCAATAAAACAGTGTATCAAAAGACGGTTTTTCCTTTGACATCGCTATCATTTTAACTACTTTCACTCCTCAGTTTATTGTTTTAAAAAGCGATGATTAGAAGCTTAATAAAACCAAAATATATGAAAGTAAATTTGTACATTTTCTTTGTCCTTGAGAAAACAAAAATATTAAACACTGTTTAGTGTTTATTTATACAATTGTTTACTAGAATGGTTGGCAAAACATCGGCTAATTGTTAATCGCGGTTCGAACTTTATAAAATAGTAAATAAGAAAGATTTCGTTATAGTTTGATTCAAATATGTTTATAATTCAGTAAATGTTTATAAATTTATGAATAAAAAATTGTTTTCATATTCATTTCTTTATAAATTGATAAATGATAAATATTGCATTGCATTAATATTTTTAATACAATTCTATTAGTTTTTAGAATGCTGTAAATACACAACCATTCTTGAAAACAATCTAATAAATAAAGGGTGTTTAATATTTTTGTTGTAAATTCATAAGAACAAAAATTATATATAAACTAGCAGCATGGCCCGGCGTTGCCCGTGCTTGATTCAAAAATCGTACGACTCATACAGCAATCGCTATCACTTGACTTAAAATATTTTTGCCCTTCCTTGCCTTTAAACGAGTGCCCTTTGCCGTGCTGATGTTGCTACATGCCTTACTTCTTGCCTATATCACACTGCGAATTTTTTCTAAGCTCTATACTAAACATTAAACCTGTTACGAAAAAAGAACTAAACAAAATGAACACAAAACGATCAGCTTTAAAAAAGGACTCGTAACTGGAAAAACCGAATGAAAAAAGAATGTTAACAACAAATACTTTTTCACACCTAACCCAGTTCTGCGGAATCAGAATCAACGTTGAGTTTAAGCAAGCGAATGAGCCAATTGGAGTAAAGTGCCATGCAGATTTAAATTTTTCCCACTTGTGACGAATGCAGCTAAAGACCGAACTTCAAAAGCAAGCGTCTACTGGTTTATCAAACAGAAACACTTGAGATCAAGATGAAAGTACTTCTTCCCTTTCTGTGTGGGTGTACATAGTATCACACTTCACATTTCACGGCAGACTTTCTATTATCAAAATGAAGAATACTGAATAACAAAAGTGATAAAAACAACAAAAAAAAGATACTAAATGAAATTGTTTAGACTATATACCCAAACATATTTTAAGAAAACTAATTTAAAAGATTAAAATTTCAGCATCCCCCCATCGGGCGTATGTGTAGTTACATCATTGTAAACATCACATTAGTTTGATGAAGTCGCGTCAAACGGAAAATAATTTTCCATTTTGCCATTGACTTTAATAAGATTTAATGTCAAGTTTAACTTGTATTTTATTCAGGTTATCCGGTCGGGCATCCAGAATGTCCTTCTTATGAAGATGATCTTCGATATCTCAAAGAAAAAGTGGATGCTGGTGCTGATTTTGTCATTTCTCAGTTGTTCTTTGATGTCAAAACTTTCATCAACTTTGTTGCAGATTGTCGAAAATTTAAAATTACATGTCCCATCATTCCTGGCATTCTGCCAATTCAGGTACGATTTTTTTTTTCGTTTTCTTTGTTGAATCTATTTTGTCTTTTTAATAACGAAATTTGATGAAACGGAAAGTCGAATAACGGGAAAAATTCAATCAAAATCGAAGTAAACTGAAAATTTGGATCCATTAATTACATTCCTTCCAAGATATCAAGTAATGTAAAATTTATAAACACACACACATGTAGGCCACATCGCAAATGACGCAGTGCGAGACACCGTCAGACAAGAAACAGGTCATTGGGAGACCCCACATAACCATCGTCAAGAAGAGGAAGTTGAAATGATATGGAGACATCATGAGCCGACAAACTTTCTATTACCATCCTACGAGATAGCACTTTAGACAAAAGAAAACAGGTAGGGTAAGAAAATGGGGTCAACAACGTCACTGAACCAGCAGGGTGATCATTCACAGAGATTCAGACATTGGTACGAAACGGAAATATGCTGAGAGAAATTCTACGACCACACCCAGTCATAGGAATGATGACGATGATGAAACTATATAAACAAATGACAAGAATCCATGGGTAATACATACCGTACTTGCTGGCCTATTGGACGCACCACACATTGGAACACCAGATGTTGGCATGGAATATTTAGGAAAAAAATACACACAAACCAAAACATCAAAGTGATAACCTTACCTTTACGTGACATAGCCATGAAGAAACACTGACAGTATTAGCGCAAATTATACTTACTCGTACTTTTTTTTTTAAATAGAAGTAAGATAAGATTTAATTACCAGAACATTTTTTGATAAGAAGAATTTTAATACATTTGATCATACATTTATTGAAAATAGTTGTTTTTCAGGGAGCAAAATCTGCATAACGGGAAAAATTCAGTAAATTCATAATAGCTACAAAGAAATCTACTGGTATCAGTGAACACTGTAACATATTGTAATAAGCAAAAAGAAAATAAAACACAGAAATATGGTACCTGTTGGTAAATGAAGTTCATATTATACATGTAGAAAAGCAAATTCCAAGATCTGTATATCAACAAAAACGCACAAAGCAAGCAGTAATATACCAGTCAAAGCAAGTATTTCTGTAAAATCTGGTATTTCTACAAAACAAGCAGCAAATGTGTGATTCCATAAATTTCTTAATTTCCTGAGTTAATTTTCCAGGGATATTTTTATCGCTGGAAAATATCATGTTTATTAATTTCCAGGAGTCCTAGTTTTAGGGAGAAGCTATATGCGTGCACTGATTCCGGGTGGGCCGCACATTTTTTGCGCTCTTCATGCTATATGATAATGCTGTATTGGACGCAGGGTAATATTTTGGTGATTTTTTTTTTTAAATATCCGCGTCCATTAGGCCGGCAAATACGATACATACATATTAGATCATTGTAAAAGTTTGTACCCGATTAGAAAATAAAAAAAGAAAATTTTATATACTCATAAAAAGACATTTATTAGTCAAATACATAGTCTCCATTTTTTACCAACTGTCAAACATCGTTCTACAAGGTTGCTGATGCCATTTTCGTAGAAACTTCGTGTTTTTTGTTGGAAGAAGGTTGTGAGGTAGTTTAGGACTAACTATACAGTCAAATTAGAAACAAAATTTTACAAAAAAAAATATCGAGTATATAGTCTCCATTGTTTTTAACAATGGTCACCCATCATTATTCTACAAACTTGTTGATGGCATTTTCGTAGAAACTTCGTGTTTTTTTTTATTGGAAAATGGTTATGAGGTTGTTTTAGACTGTACAGAGTCCAACTTTTTGTCATTTATATTGTTTTGTAGAGATTGGAACATATGAAAATCCGAGGGAAATAAAACAAGTTAGAAGAATATGATGGGTACTAGAGGGTGGGGGTCGAATTTCAGCTTTTTAAGCGAGGTCTGTTTTGCAACATACGGTCTTTCGTTTTCGTGGATGAAAAAAAAAACGGCATAGGGAAATTGTCCGACATTCAATGTCATAAACTACTTAAAAGTAACGATTGGTGAAATTGTATTAACTGACAAGAATCGTTCAAACATTTGTGATTGAAGTTAAAAAACAAAACAAACGGAAAATGAAAGCAGAAGAAACAATATAGACAAATAAATAAGACTATAAATAACTAAAATAAATAAATAAATAAAATAAAATAAATAAATAAAACTATAAATTCTTCATCTAATTCAATTCTAACAAAAAAGAAACTAAATCGTAATGAAAAATAAATGACCTATAGTTTTTCTTGTTTTATTTGCAGTCTTATGATTCTTTAAGGCATATTTCGAAGCTCGCCAAACTCGAAGTTCCAAAGAATATTGTGGACACAATCCAACCAATCAAGGACAATGATGAAGCCATCCGTAACTTTGGAATTTTTCAGGCTGTTGAGATGTGTAGGGCGTTACTCAATAGTGACCATGCCCCAGGGCTTCATTTTTACACTTTAAACAGAGATTACGCAACCAATTCTATTCTCAAGCAACTTGGTCTTCTAACTGCTGACATTCAAAGAACTCTGCCTTGGAAACCGTCAGCAAACTATGCCCGAATGGATGAGGAAATCCGTCCCATTTTTTGGAATCTGCGTCCTCAGAGCTACATTTACCGCACATCTAACTGGGATAATTTTCCCAATGGCCGGTGGGGAAATTCCTCTCTGGCAAGTTTTGGGAACCTGACAGATTATTATATGTTTTATTTAAACCAGCCCCCGAAAACAGAACTATTGAAAATGTGGGGGACTCGACTTGAAGAAGAGCAAGATGTATGGAATGTATTTAAACTGTACATCACAGGAGAGACGAACGAGAATGGCATAAAGGTAAGTTATTTTTCTTATTCTATGCCCCAGTAATTAAATGGAAGCTCAGGTAAATTTAAAACTGTTTTAAACAGGTTTACCTCTGACCGATAATATTTTTTACATTTATATACTCATTTCATGTATTTCATATAAACATTATTATGAGACAGAATATTATTCGTTTAGATAATTTTTTAAATGAACCAGAGACATTGTTTTGTTTTTTTGTTTTTTTCGTACCACGAAGCTCTGTCCTCTTGGTAACTCTGATCATGCCGTCGTGTCTGTTAACATCTCCTTTTACTCCTCCCTCAGTAAGGACCCTTCCACCAACAAAACGTCTTTCTGTTATCAACGAGCAGACTCGTTCCATGATTTACTCTGCGATGTCTCCTGGAATCTAGTTTTTAATCTCCCCGTCCAAAAATGTGTGCCTGAGGCCTCATCCTGGGTAAAAGCTGGAATCGAGGTTTTCATCCCAGCAAGAAAATATAAAGTGAAATCGCGTTCCTCCCTTTAGTTCTCAGCTGTTTGCTCAGTCGCAACTGTCCACAGGAATTGCTACTTCCATCTGTACCGTAGCGATATGTCTGACTGCAACAGTCGTCTCTTTGTTACTGCTCGTAATAAGTGCAAGCGTGTCCTCTGTGAAGCAAAGTTACTCTTTACCGAAAGAATGAAACAACGTATTGATTCTCGCAAGTTTGGTTCTAAAGATTATTGGCGGCTGTGCAAGAGTGTGCTGAACAACAGTAAACCCACAATAACTCCATTATTCAACCAATTTCAGGTCCTGACTGCCTCAGCTGACAAGGCTGAATGCTTTGCTCGGAAATTCTCATCCAATTCAATGCTAGACTCATCTGGTGTACCCAAATCTTATTCACTACCCCCGAACTGAGGCTCTACTGAGTGAGATGCCTATAACCCCAATGATGGCATCGGGCATCATCTCTAAATTAGACTCCCAAAAACACGAGATTGGCGACTCAGAGATCAGTGGTTCGTTTTCCAAACTTGCTTGATTGATGACCATCACTCAAAAATAGTGTACTAGACAAGAAAATCTTCTGAAACCAATTAAAGACTTAAGAGTGAAAAATGGCTCAGTGTCAGAATTTTATTACAATCTCTCAGCACATTCCTGACACTGTGTTGATCACTGACTGAAGAGTGATGGTTGTTATTTCCAAAGCTTAGTTTGACACAAGGCTAAAATTATTGGGCGCCCAGTGATGATAAAAATCACTACACTGTGCTAATGGCTCTTCAACCTAATGCCAAAGCAACACTATAGCAAGCTGATACTGCACTAATCGAGTCAGTTCCAATTATATTAACAACGCAATGCTTTGTTTTTTTAAGATTTAATTTTTTTCTGGTAAACAAATTTGTATCCTCTTGATAATGTAAAAAAATATGTCGTTACTTGAACCCTAACACCAGTCTTCTTTGTGTCACTCACAGTTATATTAAACTGAGCACAAAGTCAGCTGCTGACCGCTCATGTAGGTGATTTACCAGTGGTTATTAATCTGCCAGCACTCGACGATTTCTTCAATGGTTACTCTCCTAGATCATTTTGCATCAATGTGGGTACCTCTTGGGGCTTTATTCTTGAAGCCACTCTGTTCTTTATTTGCATCAATTACCTTCTAAAATTATAATAATATCAGTTGACGCAACTATTTGCTCCAGTCTTAATAGTACGTTTGATGGGATCAATAAAATCAAATTGGCAGTTGATCTGCAATCCGTTACTGTAAGAAATGGCTTGTTAAAATTGAAGTGCTCTCTATTAATCATCTTAAAGAACATTTTCTGCCCTCCATCAGCATGGCTGATGCTAACCTCCAGTATAACAACTCCCTAAAACTTTGGCTCATGTTTTCCACTGACAGGAAGTGGAATGATTATATTAAATCAATTGCTCGGTCTGCTCCTAGGAAAGTCGTTTCGTTATGTCATGTCAGATTATTTTTCTTGACAGAATCCATTTTGCATGTTTATAAATCTATCATTTATCCATGCATTGAATATTACTGTCACATCTAGTCTGCTATGTGTCTAAAGATTCTTAACAAAATTCAAAGAAGAATTAGCAACATTATTGATCTGATCTGTCATCGTGGCTCAACTCACTTATGTCACTGCAGTAAATTAACTTTCTTTTGTCTCTTCTATAAATATTTTTATGGTGACTGTTCTGATGAGAATTCCTCGTTGGTAATTTGACTTCACAAATTTTTGCGCAGTACTAGATTGACAGTTAGGTCTCATAATTTCACTATTGAAATTGATTGTTATATTCAAAATTTATCTGCTAATAGTTTCTTCCCTCGCACTTCTCGCTTGTGGAACTCTCTTACGGCTTCCTAACAACGACGATCTTGAAAAATGTAAATGCAATACCAATTGTCATCTGTTTACTTGAATCCTGTTCTTTTATTGTTCCCTCTCTGTTTCTTTCACTCTCAGTAACCCCTTGCATCCTAGTGGATTTTATTGTCTTTCCATGAATGAAAGCAATCGGTGATTTGCCAGTGGTTAATATCCATTCAACACTGGTGAACTTAAGATTACACAATAAAGTTTTACTTTTTTCCACTAGGTTTCAATGATTCCATGGCATGATGACGCTTTATCTCCTGAAACTTCTTTGATTGCCAAAGAACTTGCTAGTTTGAATAGTCAGGGTGTTTTGACTATCAATTCCCAACCGGCAATTAATGGCTTACCGTCTTCAGATCCTGTTTTTGGTTGGGGAAATCCAAATGGTTATGTTTATCAAAAGGTAAGTAAAATATAAATTGGAGCATCTTTTCTATAAAATTTGATTGTTTTGTTTTTTTCCGTACCACGCATCTCTGTCCTCTTGATAACTCTGATCATGCCGTCGTGTCTGTTAACATCTCCTTTTACTCCTCCCCCAGTAAGGACCCTTCCACCAACAAAACGTCTTTCTGTTATCAACGAGCAGACTCGTTCCATGATTTACTCTGCGATGTCTCCTGGAATGTAGTTTTTAATCTCTCCGTCCGAAAATATGCGTCTGAGGTCTCATCCTGGGTAAAAGCTGGAATCGAGGTTTTCATCCCAGCAAGAAAATATAAAGTGAAATCGCATTCCTCAACTTGGTTCTCAGCTGCTATTGCCCACAGGAATCACTACTACAATCTGTACCGTAGCGAAATGCCTGATTGCAACAGACCTCTCTTTGTTACTGTTCGTAATGATTAGAAGCGTGTCTTCAGTGAAGCAAATTTACTCTTTGTCGAAAGAATGAAACAACGTATTGATTCTCGCAAGTTTGGTTCTAAAGATTATTGGCGGCTGTGCAAGAATGTGCTGAACAACAGTAAACCCACAATAACTCTATTATTCAACCAATTGAGGTTCTAACTTCTTCAGCTGACACAGCTGAATGCTTTGCTCGGAAATTCTCATCCAATTCAACGCTAGACTCATCTGGTGTACCCACACCCGGTCCCCCCACCAGAACTGAGGCTCTATTGAGTGAGATGCATATACCCCCAACGATGGTATCGGACATTATCTCTAAACTAGACTCCCATAAGGCTAGTGGTGGGGACGGGATACCGGCCATTGTCCTGAAGAAATGTGCTCCTGAACTGGCTCCTGTCCTCTCCAAACTATACAACTACTGCCTTCCACACTCTTGCTTTCCAGCCTGTTGGAAGTCCTCATCTGTTGTCCCTGTCTTTAAGAACTCTGGAGACCTTTCTGGCCCATCTAATTACCGTCCTCGTTACCGAAGAGTAGTAAAATCTTCGAGGTTTTAATCAATGCCGAAGTGGTTAAACACCTTATTTCCCATAGTCTGCTCTCCGACAAGCAATATAGTTTCTGCTTTGCCAGATCTATTACTAATGTGCTCACGGCTATAACTGAATTTGTATACCAAGCAGTTCAAAATAACGGAGAAGCTCAAGCCGTGGCTCTAAATATCTCTAAAGCATTTGATAGAGTTTGGCATGCCAGCCTTCTTCGTAAACTTCAGGGATATGGCATTACAGGACGATTATTTGATTTAATACAATCATTCCTGTCAAACAGTGAAATGAAGATCGTCCTAAACTGGTCCTCCTCCAGCTCCTTTATCACGAACGCTGGTGTTCCCCAAGGATCTATCTTAATGACCTTCCCGATGTCATCAGTTCCCAAGTAGGCATCTGCGCAGACGACACTACTATTTAATCCTGCCTCGCTAGTAAATCTGGCACCATTGATAAAACTAAACTGATCTCGAAAAAGACCTCCAATCTGTGGTTGACTGGGGCAGGAAATGGTTTGTAAACTTCAATGTCTCCAAAATGAAACTGCTCTCATTTATCCACCACATAGAACCCTCCACCCTGCCTCCCAACAGAATAGCTGATGCCCAACTCGACGAGGGCACCTCATTGCGCCTGCATTGTCTTGCGCTGTCTGTTGATATGAGGTGAAACAAGTACATAAACTAAGTAGCTTTTTCTACTGCAAGGAAATTTGGTTCTCTGTCGCACCAAAAAGATTTTCTCGTCTGAGTCCATCTTTCAAATCTATAAATCAACCATCTGTCCTTGCATGGAATATTGCTGTCATATATGGTCTGGTGCCCACACTGTAAATTTCGAGGTCCTCGACAAAATCCAGATACGGATATGCAATGTGATATGTCCTGATTTGGCATCTAGTTTACAGTCGCTTTCTCACAGACATGACATGGCACCCCTCTGTCTCTTCTATAAGTATTTTTACGGCAACTGTTCCGACGAGTTGCTTTTTCTAGTTCCCAGACTGCATAAATTTAAGCGAGCTACTAGGTAGGCATCTCGGTCACACTCTTTCACTGTCGAAACGGTAAAATATAACTGTCTCTTCTACTCAAACAGCTTCTTCTCTTGCACTTCCTGTCTGTTGAACTCCCTTCCTCTTACTTGCTTCCCTGATAACTATAATCTTCAAATATTCAAGTGTAATGTCAATTGACATCTTCTGATACCTTAACCTTGTTCCCTATCCTTCTCTTTATTCTCTCCCCAAACATGCCTCTTTACTCTTGTTCTCCACCCTCTGTAACCCCTTGTGTGCTAGTGGCACTCCCACCTTGCTTGAGGCAAAATTCTTTAAAAAAAAACAACTTCATAAGGTTAATTACTTTTTCAGTTTAATTTGTGAGGCTGATTTTTAGTAAAATGATCATGACACAAAAATGTGTTACATGGTATTGTAAACACACAACGCGAACCTTGTCCAAGCTCTTCATTGACAGACCAATGATCACTCCACCTTGCAGTTCCATTCTCGATCTTTTCGGTGTAAGCTGGTAAAAGATGCAATGCATGCTCACAAGGTAACAATGATGAAAGACAAACACTGTATTGAGAAATAAACGCATTTTGTTGGCATAAAATTTGGCATAGATTTAAAATATCAAAAAGTCAGGAAAATTCTTTTTTTTTTTGTTGCTGAAAACCCTCAAGTATTTTTTAAAGTGTTTCTTTGGTGGTTTTTGTTTTTTTATTGTTTAAATTGCTGCTGCTAATGATGATATAAACTATTCACTGTTTTTTTTCTAAATTTTCAAATTCCAGGCTTATTTGGAATTTTTTGTTTCCAAAGAAAAAGCTGAAATTCTAAACAAAATCCTACTCAAATATCCTCAGGTTAATTACAACATTGTAAACAGTCAGGTAAGTGTGTTCACTTTATCCAATATGTGTGTGAGTGAGAGAATGAGAACAAAGATTGTGTTCAAGCATAAAAACACACTGTCGCCACTCAGTGTTGACATAAGTGTCTACGCTTATATTTACATATGCTCTATTCCCTGATGTTGTGCACTTTTACCCATAAATATAACATACCTTAAAACTATGTTTTCATCATACATTATGACATGGACTAACTCCAATAATTATTTTAATATATTTTCTGTTTATATCGTTATTTTTATAGCTACAAATATTTAAGTAAATGTAGTTAATACTGTTTATTATAAAGTGAGCATTTACTTAAATATTTGTATCTATAAAAATAATGTATAAACAGAATATATATATATATATATATATATATAGTTCCATGTGCCATTTTTAATTAGTTATCAGTAATCTCCTGTTAATTCCCCTCTCCAAGTTCTCCACTGCCTTAACCGGGTATTGAACTCACACTCTTTGGGTCCTGTCACTGGATCTTTATCCACTGTGCACATGCAACTAGAACAGTCTACCCCAATGAATGAAATAAAGGGTTCAGTTCGACATTCCAACCACCTGAAGAAGGCCGGAGCATACAACGGCCAAAACGTTGTAATAAATATGGCGACAAACATGAGGACGATAGTCCGAATAATGTAAATAGTATACCTCATCTCAGAAATATTGTAACAGAGAGAGGTATACACAAACACACACACACACATCCACATGAACGCACACACACAAATATAACTTTTATTGACTGGAAATGGAAGCAGTGTTTATATATCAAAGTACAATTTGAGTTAAGATGTGTGTTCACTGATGAGAAACACGATCTCAGGGCAGGAGGCGATGTTTTTAAACCTGGGTCACTAGTAAACAATGGGGATGGGCAAGATACTTGGTTTTGTTTAACCGTATATGTTTTGATTAAAAGGTTGAATCATTGTTTAGATATCCCAAAGTATAATTTTGGTGAAGCGAGAAGAACTTGTGATTGAGATAAGGTAAATAATTGGAGAATTGGTTTACATGTCAAGGGATAGTTTTTGGCACTCGTGGTAGCTGCGTGCCGGGCCGAGGGTCAATTGTGATCAGCTGATCCTTTTTCTATATTAACTCAAGATTTTGCTAATAAAGCAGAGTCGGGGAAAGAGACTGTAGTCGAGAGAGTCATGAGACTATCGGCACAGTGAGTCGAGAGATTTGTGGGGGAATTTTAGAGGAGAGAGAGAAGACTGCCTCCCGTTCTGAGAATTGGTGAGAATGATTTTAGAAATGCTAGATGATAGGCTGATAAGTCATCTAGTGTATTCTTTGATACTAGTATATCAATAATAGTAAAATATTTAAATATATTCTCATCAATGGTTAATTATTATTAATGTTGCAATTGTATTGTACTTTTAAAATATCAAAAATGTTACTCTGTATTTTCTTGCTAATTAATCTTGAGCCTTGTCAGAAATGAAAGCAATTACTAACTTTGGCAAACAGGGATAAATGTGCCTGCAAAAAGACTATTTGTCAAAGGGACACTTTTTTTTTTTCCTTGCTAAAGCCATTAATGTCTGCTGGATTTTAAATTTAGCCCACTCCAAGTAGATCGTTTTGTTTTTTTCTTGGTTCATATGCTGCATTGTGTTACTAATATTTTTGCAATGATGGGCAATATTGTGTCCAGTCTGAGGTTGACCATCTGAGATCATAATTGAAGGAGAAAATAGTTGACTAAGAAGGGAATGCATTTAAAGTATACTGATCTCTCCACTCTATGGTCAATTTTAAACTGGGCTCATATATAATATCACCTGTCATTGTAAAAATATTAGCAGCATATAGGATGTTTTTACCTGATCATCAGCATTAAAATAAATATTAACATAATGTATACTTACATAGTTTTTATCATTGTGTCAAGAAGACAATCATTAAAAAATATATACAAAAACCAACTGCTTAAAGAAGAGAGATCAACAGTAGTATTCTATGAGTTATTGAAATTGATTTGTTGCAGATAACCTCAGGTTTTTAGCATCATATCTTTAAATTTATGCTACCTGATCGATGGGAACATAAGAATATTTCCCTATTTGACTGTACTGGAATCCAGCATCATTTGTAATTATGGATAAAGTTGTGAGCATGTATTATTTATATAGAAGGTTTTAAAAATATTTGCTGATACCCATTGCCAGGGTGTTTAGTTTAACAGAGAGACTTTAACTATACAAAGAGTTGAAACTGAAATGCATGTGATATGTATATAACTCCATCGTCTCTAAACTGGATCCTTATAAAGTATGTAAACTTGATGGCATCCCTGCAATAGTCCTTAAGAAAAGTGCTCCTTAACTGTCTCCTGTTCTCTCTAAATTCTACAATAAATGTCTTGCTGCTTCTTGCTTTCCTGCTTGTTGGAATCCTCTTCTGCAGTTCCAGTCTTTAAGAATTCAGACAAACCATTTGTTCCTTCTAACTATTGACCTAATAGCCTTCAACCACTTTTTGGCAAAGTACTAGAGGCTCTAATTAACTCTGAATTGATTATGCATCTCACATCACAGTCTTTTTCAGATAAGCAATATTGCTTTCACTTCTCTCAGTAAACTGCTGATGTATTAATGGTTATTGCTGAAAGAATCCATCAAACTTTAGATAATAATGGTGAGGCTCAAGCTGTTTCAAAGGCATTTGACAGGGTTTGGCATACTTCACAAGTTGAAAGGTTATGGTATTTCTGGATTCATTTTTGAATTGATTCTTTCTTATCAATCATGAAATGAAAGTAGTTTGGAATGGCCACTCTTCCAGATCATTTTGTATTAATGCAGGTGTTCCACAAGGCTCTATCCTTGTACGTACATCATTCTTAATTTTCATCAATGATCTTCCTGATGCCATCCTTTCTCAACTCGATATCTTTGCTGAGGACACAACTATTTACTCCTGTCTTAATAATAAGTGATTGGTTTGATAAGATCAAATTGGCAGCTGATCTTGCAAATGACCTACAATCTGTTGTTAAATGGCAAAAAAATGGCTTGTTAATTTTAATGACCTCAAAACAAAACTGGTCTCTTTTAATTGTCTTAGAAAAGCTTTTATGCCTTCCATCAGCATTGCTGATGCTACCTTCCAGGATAATGACATCTTGCACCTTCTTGGGTCAACATTTTCAGCTGATATGAAGTGGAAAGATTAATTGAATCAATTGTGAGGTCTGCTTACTAGCAAAGTTGGTTCATTGTGTCATGCTAGACAATTTTTCTTGCCAAAATCTATCTTACATTTAGAAGTCTACCATTCATCCATGCATTGAATATTGCTGTCACATTTGGTCTGGTGCTTCTGATATATTTAGAGATTCTTGATAAAATCCAAAGAAGAATCTGCAATATTATCGGTCATGACTTGGCATTTTGGATTCAGTTACTTTCCCGACCACTGTAACGTAGTTTCCCTGTGTCTTTTCTATAAATATTTTCATGGTAATTGTTATTAGTTTTCCTCTTTGGTATCTAGACTTTACGAATTTAAGCGCAGTACTAGATTGGCAGCTAGGTCTCATCATTTTACAGTTGAACTGGCTAAAAGTAACTATAAACCAATTCATGCTTTCTAGTCAACTTGATCTTAAGAAATTTAAATGCAATGTCAATCATTATCTTCTAAATTCCTGTTCTTTCATTGTCCTCTCCCCTTTAAAATGTTTTCTTTTTCTTATATTCTCTCTCACCCTCAGTCGCCTCTTGCATCTTAGTAGCTTTATTGCCTTGCTTTATCAATTTACCATTTAACCAGATTCAGCTACTTTTGAAAGCACAGTAGGCTAAACTTTGAATTTCATTACATGCAACTTTTGTGGATACTTTTTAAAATAAGCTGGGCTAATTTGGTTTACAAATGTAAAAAATGTTAATTGAAAATTTATAAACTCTAGGCATTCAAATGTAGCTTATATCATGGCTTGTAGCCTTGTTTGCCAACCATATTTCCAAATTAAAAAAATATATTAACATCTAAACAGCATATTCAATTTGTCTTTTATTTTGGTGGTTTATTTAGGGTGATATAAATTACAGTAACTGTGATGAAACTCAACCAATTGCTGTGACGTGGGGCGTATTCCCAGGCCAAGAAATCCTCCAACCAACTGTTGTGGATCCAATTGCCTTTAATATATGGAAGGTAAGTTGAACAGTAAACAGTTTTCATATAGAAATTGATTTGTTTACAGGTTTGTAGTGTTTAAAATGTCAACAAACAATAGATTATTTCAATTCTAGTTTGCTTATAGTGTCTGCAATTATATTTACATGCCACTTACAAGCATTGCACAAAAATAATCTAAATTGTGTGTTAGACTTCTGTTTCTGGATTATTACCGCTGCTGCAGTCAAGCAGTCATGCTTGACAAGCCTTCCTGTTTTCTGCTGCTGAAGCCTTGCTGTCAATAGCAGTAATAAAAGAGAAACCATGGTGAATATAGTCAAGCCTGATAACAGCAGCAGCAGTCAAGGAGAACATTAGGTTTAAGGCTCCAAGTTATACACTCAGGATTGTCCCACAGGACAACAGCCTAGTGGATTAAAGTAGTAGCTTGTGAATTTGGTGGCATATTAATTGTTACTTTAACATTTATGACTGTATTTCAGTAGAAACAGATCTAGCAATAACTGAGCAGTATGAAAAAAGTAATTGTGAGTTCAATCCCTGGGCTAGGTAGTACAGATTCAGACTCAGTGGAAACAGGACTAGCAATCACTGAGCAGTACTAAAAAAAAAAAACAAGATATCCCCTGACAAAGGCAGTGGAACAAGAACAATCTACCCTCATAGCCTAAATAATGTATTCAGTTGTTAAATCCCTGAAAGTTACCCAGATTGAGAGACACCTGAAGAATGCCAAATTGATTGACTGACTTTTTTTTTTTTTATTATGGCTTATTAACCTTTTGCAAGTTATTCCAAACCAGAATATATTTTTAGATTGAAAGAGCTTTCTTGGACATAATAATGATTTACTGATAGAAATCTTACTAATTAACCCATAGCTAGGAGGAGAAGAGCTGGAATCTTATTTTCCCCAAGGTTATTTGTGTGTAATTGAATATAACGAACCTGACTGGAATTGGAAGATGGCGCTCTGATTTCCAATTCCAAGTTGTTATCAATTACAGCATCCACACATCCAAGCTTACAGCACCTCGTATTCACAAGTGGCCACCCATCTAGGTACTAATCAGGCTTAACATTGCTTAACTTCGGTGCTGGTATGAGAAGTGGTGTTTCAATATGATATGGTCATAAGCAATAATGCCAGAGGGAACAATGTCTAAAATACTGTGATAAAAATAATAAAGATAAGGACAATAGTCTGAATGTAAATAATGTGCGTTAAATATTTAAAATATACTTATTAATTACAAGCAAAATCTAGTACATCTAATCAAAATTAATATGCAACAACTCAAGATGTTTATCAATGGAAGATGTTGATGCTTTCAAAATAAACAATGACACATTATGCATAACATGAGCAGCCGTATGGAGTTGGAAGAGAAAAACACTATCTTATATCAGAGACCTTTTAAAAAGATTTCTTGTAACTTGTGGTCTATACAGCATCAGGAGAACATTTGGGAACAGCCCCATAACCAATTTTAGATCATCACAAGAACTGCATATACTGTTGTGTACTGTGTTGTCTTGGGATCTCCATGCTACTAAATAAAACAGTATCAACGAAAAGGGTCATTTATTTTTGGTATTGGCTTTATTAAGAGTGGAGGCAGTAAGAGAACTGATGTCAAAGGAACACATGTCGCATGATGGCTCAGTGTCTCTCCATGGGAGGTATTAGCTGGTCGTAAACCTGGGTGTGGGAGGCATATCAATGCTTCAGAATTCTTGAGACCCTCTGTTAAATTCATGCCACTTTGGACTTATATGCAAAACCCAAGAAAAGGCAATCCGTCACTGTCAGAATGCACTGCCCATGAGTCACTCCAACCAATTGCTGACCATTCTGGCCCTGGCCTTTCTGTAACAATACAATATACTATGTTGATGTGACAGAGAATACAAAAGAGAAGTCAGTTGCCTTCTGAAGAACATCAAAAAGTCAAACTGTTCAGAAACTATGGTGATTTACTAAGAATATCTTAGATGTGGTACAAGGCCAGAAGTAGGGAGCAGACAATGAGTATCGAAGGGGCTGCTCAGTTGTAATCGAGCTAGCAAGACAAGCTTGCTAACCATAACACTACATTGAAGTGCAGCCTCATTTCTTATCTATAACTGCATATTTACCCATTCTGGATAGTAAGTATATATTATTTTTTGATTTTGAGCTCTTTTTAAGCATTTGTATTACTAATCTTATTTTATTTCCACTTTTAAGCTTTGTTCTACCTTTCACGGCAATATATATATATATATATATATATATATATATATATATATAAAATGAGCTAGTAAGAATATGTTTACATAGGTTTTAGGAGCAATTTATTTCCTTTTCTCTGATTTGGCAGTAGCTATATAACTTATTCATCCTAATTTGATGTTTTTTTTATTTTATTCTATTTCTTTTGTTAATAATTTTAATGAATTTCATTAAAATAGAGAGTAACATTACAGACATTCTGTAGAAATAATGATGGTCAACTGTTTGGTGATTAATGTAAATATTAAAAATGCTTGATAATTTAATTCAAATATTCATCCAATCAAATTCATTTTCTTTTACAGCAAGAAGCTTTTGATTTATGGAAGACCAACTGGGGTAACCTTTACCCTCCCAAGTCAGAATCTCAAAATATCATCAACTACTTTCATGACAACTATTTATTAGTTAATCTGGTGGATAATGAATTCACCAAACCAACTTGCTTGTGGACAATCACTGCAAAGATGTTGGCAGGTGAAAAAAATTAAGAAAAAACTTTTTTTTAAAGTTTGCTTCAGTTCATCTCTGTTATTTGAAGTCAAAATACATTTTTTGTGCTTTTTTCCTTAATAAAATAAGAACTCTGTCTCAGACAAATTTTTCAACTTTTTTTTAATAATGTCACCTGAAGTAAGGCGATAAAGCCACTAAGATGCAAGAGGTTACAGAGAGTGAAGGTAACTAATAAAAACATTAAAGAGGAGAGAGGACAAGAAAAAGAACAAAATTTAAAAAGATGGAAGGGACTGAGATTGCATTTAAATTTTTGAAGATTGTAGCTGACAGGAAAGCATGAAGCTCGAAGAGGATTCCACAAACAAGAAATGTGAGAGAAGAAACTATTGGAATAGAACTTCCGGTGACATTTAGCAATTTCAGCAGTAAAAGAATGAGACTTAGTTACCAATCCTTTTTTTAAAGTCACTAAGACACAAGGGCTTACTGGGTGTGGAAGAATTAGAAAACAGAAACATTACTAATGATTGAAAACAAAAGAAGAGTAATCAGGAGGAGAGTAGATAGTGATTGACATTGCATTGAAATTTTTGAAGATTAAAGTTGACTGGAAAGCAAGAAGCCAGAAGAGAGTTTCATAAGCAAGAAGTGCCAGGAAAAAAAACTGTTAGCATAGAACTTACGGTTATATTGAGCCAAGTCAACTGTATAATGATGGGACCATGTCACCATTATACTACTGTGCTTAAATTCCAAATAAATAATTATATATATATATATATATATATATATATATATATATATGTGTGTGTGTGTGTATAGTAATACCATTTCTCACACATCTTTAGGAAATGGATAAATTTCTTCCTTTTAAGTCAATTTAATGACCAGGATTTCTCAGGAATCTTTTCTCCAGCCCATCTTTGAATTGTCAAACAAAGTTTTGTTAGTGATTTTAGATAGCTGTAAAAGTGGAGTCCTTTGAAAAAACTTCACCGAAACCCTTTCTGGGTGGTACCCCTTTCCAGCTGGTGGAACATGTGGATAGAAAGGGGTGATGGGTCCCCCAGCCAGTATTCATATAATGAGTGGTCAGTGAAAGAACCAGCAATAAGTAAAGTGGTCACACAGTAAGTGTGTAGGGGTCTGTTTTCCATGAACAGATGAGAAAGAAGTTTACTTTCTCAAAGCAGAAGAGATATGTTGCCAATTAAGAAATCATGCTTTTTTGTTTCTTCCCAACCAAACAAGTGTCTTGAAAAGCATTTGTTATTCTTCTTTGTTGACATTGATCATGGCCCTGGATTTGCATACAGCTGACCTTGGATGTCATCAATACTTTGTGCAGTGATGTGCAGAATTACATCATCACATGTGTGTGTATATGTGTGAATGAAATCCCATTATTCTGATGTGTTTACGTATTTCCTTAATTCATGTTTGCAGAATAAATATCTTATATTTATTTTGCTATCAGGAGGTTTTTCTGGATAAAAAACCCCAAAAAACAATGGACTTTTAAAATTATTGGTTAAATAAAAAAATATATATCCAGGTCATTATGCACTCTTTTAACCCACTGGCCCAGTTATGGGTAAAAAGCAGAGTAGACAGGGTTCTGTAGCCTTGGTTGGCAACTAGTGATTTTCTGAAGATTATTTTCTCTATTATTTGTAAATTGCCATAACTTGCTTTGCTGTGTTCTTTGCTATGATTTTGTATTCAGAGTTGTCTTTCTCTGAGACTGGCTGTCAGCCATGGTTAAAAAGCTCGGTTTACATTGAGAAAATTCATTGAACACAATTAAATTAGATAATCTGCCAATATGTGAGTTGTCAAGACTGGTCAAACAATAAATATTGATTCTAGAAAGGAGAAACGGTTTTGCAAATGATCATAACAATGGAAAATGCACAACCATCATAAACATGTAGAAATCTCTTTTGAGGTTTGGTGACAAAGTTTCAAAATTAAAACTTCTGTTTTGGGTAAAGTTAATAAACAAAAAAAAAATACAGGGATAAAATTTTTTCTGCTTAAAAATTTTGTAAAGTAAACAATTTACTGATTTTGTTGGTGGATGTTTTGACAAATGATTATAAAATAGGAAGCAAACTTGACTGGATCTGCAACTAAATTTTTGTCCGTTTATTGAAAAACAAATACAGAAAGATTATGCAGACCCCATCCCTTCCCCCCAAAAAACCCTCTAAACTAAACAATAGTGTCCTCCTATGTTCAATTCTGATTATCACTTATTTGTTGTTGTCGACTTCTAAAACCTCTTACAAACGATCGTTCACGAGATTTAAAACTATTCTGAGTTTGACGAACTTTCACAATTGTCTGTCTGACAAAATCCTCAAGTGGGACATCACTGATGAAAGCACCGACTTTTAAAGATTGCTCTATTAATTGTAGTTGTTGTGCCATTTTAGGATCATTCACCTTTTCCATTTCTGACTTGATTTCAGACAACTGGAGAAAAAAAAAAAATTAAATTCAATATTGCTTTTCACATTAAATGTTTTAGAAAAAAGATTAGAAATACGAAAAATGTATTTCTAACTGTTTTAGTGAAATTCAAAAAGTCTAATTAAATTTCAAGTTAAATTTGAATATATTCTTTAGAAATTTTTAAGCTGATCATCTTAAAGTAATATTATACTAATTATCATGTACCTCATGAATTATGAAAATTCACAGAAATTAAACCTTGATAAAACAAATTTCATGCTCAGACATCATTAAAACATTTTTATAAGTTGACCAGCTTCAAAGCTTTCTATTAAAGATTATAAATGAATCAAGATTCCAACTAAGAAATAAACTTACCATAGAATTTAGTCATCTTATAATTTACATAAAAAGATAAAATTTACACATTAATTATTAAACTTTCATCTTCCTAACATTTGTAATAAAGTTATTTAAATGTTTGTACATTTCAAACAACTTAAAAATTCTAATATTTGTTAAACAATTACACACCAAGTAATGTTTACAGTAATGTGGTGTGTGTATATATATATATATATGAATGAGAAAAAGATGTATGCTGAAGGAAAAAAAAAAAAAAAAAAAAAAAAAAAAAAGAGAGAGATTCAAGATATCCATTACAAAAAAAAAAATGGCAGCACTTCATACCCATACAAATCAATTCATTGGAGTTTTATTTATTCACCAAAAAGATCAGTAAATTTTTATTTTCTATTCAGTTTATATTTTTTCCTTTCCTCTTCACAAAAAAATTGCCTAACACACACACACTTTTGAATATTTTCATTTGAATTGAACACAAATCAGTGTTCAAATATTGACATAAGAACAAATTCAAATTTCCATAATATACTTTTGCCTTAATGAACTACCCAAAAATCACTCCAAGACTTCCATCTTCTCTAACTCTTCAAATAAAAAAAAAAAAAAAAAATTCTAATTCTCATAGTGAAATTTTACTTTATTTAGTTATACTAAGTTACTCCTCTCCCCCCCCACTAAGACCGTTTATGCGATATTGATTATTATTTATAAACTTAATTCTTCTTCTGTTAATCCCCTACATCACTTCATCTATAAATTCTTTTAAATTTAATTTTGAGTTCTTTCTTAATTTCTTCTTTAATTTTAAATTTAAGTTAAAAACTTGTGTTTTCTTCTAATACCCCCATTGGTCGTTATAAGGTTAATATTCCAGGCTTTCTTTAATAAAACCTCTCCACTCTTTAAGCTAGATACCTACCACCCTCCTGAACTCCTGCCCCGTGCCTACTGCCCAACTGAAACAGTGAAAAGTGTAAACTCTGTATTAGGTGTTTTCAGCAAGTTAAGGTTTAAGTTGACCCTTTAGCTTCCAATATCAATTCCTCACCATTAACTCTTACTACCTCCTACTTCCTCTTACCTTACAGATGTGAACTTCATTCCACACGGGGGTTGAATGACAGACCACTTTTGTCGTCTGCCGAAATAGCCTATTCCCCATATGAGGTAAAAGGATTTATTTGATTATTAATTATAGTGCTCTGTATAAATAAAATATATCAAGCTCTTTTTTGTGGATCAGTTCAAATATTTTTTATATTACTAGGATCCACTTGGCTTATATACCAACAGATTTTTTTTTTACTTATATATATATATATATATATATATATATATATATATATATATATATATATATGTTATATATATAATAAAATAAAAATAAATATATAACAGAGCTATAAATCATATATTATTAAATTATGATATTTCAAATCTCATTTTGTTCCCAGTGAGAAAAAAAATATTTATTTATTTATATACTGTCCTAGGTGGACTTTAGTCTAACTCCAGTGGAAAGCTTTTGGGCCTTTTGCCTTTTAACCTTCTTGTGTGTAAAAGTTATAAGAATTTAGAAATAATAAAAATATTTTATCTTTATTCAACACCTTTAATTCACCATAATCTTTCTTCATATACACAACAATCTCTAATTTGCTTACATTTATTTTGCATACGATTTTTATTTTCTTTTTAAATCAGTATTCTTTTTTAAAAACCATATGTGCAGCGTAGTGTGCTCTGCTTAAGTTTTAATTAGACAATATTAATTGCAATTATGATGAAAAGCAAGATTAAAGTTAAATCATTAATAAAGCATTTTTTTAAACCTTTCACTCTGTTAAATATTTAAATTTAACTCTAAATGAGTTATTTAATTTTAACCGCATTTAACCATAGTAGTAACTACCTTTTACTTCAGGTTGTTTATATATATATATATATATATATATATATATATATATATATATATAATATATAAAAATTTTTTTTTTATATCTCACAGGTAAAAATATAAAAAAAAAATTTTTTTTTTAAATCATAGTATAGCCACAAGTACCTCCATCTCAGTTTAACTTTTGAAAATCATAGAACTGTGAAACTGGTTAAGTTATTCTAAATAAATATTCTTAAAGACTTCAGTTGCATTTTCAACTTCTTTTTTACATGCATATATACATGTGTGTGTGTGTTTGTGTTTATTTTGGAGCAACAATCCCTCTTTTATACAAGTTTCATTAAAGATGACTGACAAGGTACTGCAATTAAGCTTTTTATTTAATTTTTCTTGTGTTTGTATAAATGTTTTCTTTTCTGGACAAAACACTTAAACTAACGATGTTAGTATAGTAAATCCACTTGGGCTGTGCTTCTCTATCTACTATATATACCATGTAAAAAAAAAAAAAAAACAAAGTATTTAAAAAGTTACTAAACCCAAAATACATGTCTGCTATGTAGATGATATTTCTATTTTAGCTGAAAACAAAAAAGAAATTGATAATCTCAAAACCATTTGGAAAAAAACCCCCAAAAAACCGTCCATAACTTTACCTAACAAATCAGTCAAAAAAATAAACCCCAATTCTTAGATGTTCTCGTAGGATTTTTGTGGTAACACATTTATGACTTTGTTATAAAAAAAAAAACTAATAGAAACTCTTGCCACCTTAATTCTAAGTGTGAATGCCTGCTTAGATATAAAATAGGCATTATAAAAATTTCCTCAAGAGATTACATGAAAACTTATCCTCTTGTCCCTTTTCTTTAAAGAACTCAATATGAAACAGACACTACTTAACAATGGTTTTCCAAATTACCTCATCGCTCACCAGATTAGACTATTTCTTTCTAAGGTAACCAATAGCAATACTGAAGATAGATAATGACATTAATATTTTCTATAAAAGTCAAATACATGTTAACTACAAGCAGGATGAATTTTCCCTTAGAAACATTATAAAGAAATACACAACCCCAAAAACAAGAAAATTAAATTATCTACTATAAAAAATTTAAAACAGCTAATCTTATCATCAAAAAATAACAACACACCATGTGAAGTAGTTAAGATTGTCATCTCCTAAAATTTTTGCTCTGCTTAGGGCCAAGAAAAAAAACAGTAGATTGACAATGACCTATTCTTAATACCACTACAACCCCTAGCATGGTCTGACTTCAGAACATTACTCCTGGACATTTCTCCAGACTGCTACCAATATCTGCCTTATAAACAATCATTTTGCTACAAGAAACACCAGAGGAATCACTCTAAAGAAAATAAATAAAAATATATTATTTATTTTATACTCTCGAATCATTTTGTTTTCTTCCAAAGTTTTTAGTAAAGAAAATCTTACCACATATCTACATTGGTGACCACCTGACATGAACACACTCTCCACAACTCATATGGTTAGATTTGGGGGAATAGAAAAGGCAGGGAAATTTTTCAACCAACCCTACACATACCATGTGTTTGTGTATAAGATCAAATTAAGAATTGCATGCCACTACTTGCCAGTAATTGCTTTTACTTTTCAGATCAGACTTGAAGGCACCAATGTTTTGTTAATTTCATAATAGATTGCTCTGCCTTTACAAATGTTGAGCAAAGCAAGATGTAATTATTTAATAAACATGTTGGATTGTGATTATATGTGATAGTTGCCATCTTGCTGTACAGTGTGTCTCACTCATAAGTGACATCATTGTAAGACTCAGTTGTGCATTGAAAAGGATATTTGGTGATTTAAAATAGACAAACATTTAAAATCTCTGGCACAAATATGTTGCCATTACATTTATCTTGTTAATTTTTGCATGTCTTTTCAGACCACCAGCTGACTTGTGACATGAATTGTCAGTGTATGTGTATATATAAGTGAACACTGAGGCCAACACCAAGCAATGACAGTCTGTTTCATGCTTGAACACAATCTTCAGTCATGTCATGACTGCATTCAAGCCTGAAGCAGACTGTTGACACCCAGTGTTGACCTCAGTGTCCACTTTTATATTTATATACTGTCTATCACTGATATTGACCATATAAATATAGCATACCTTAAAAGTGTTATATATATATATATATATATACACACATATATACACACACACAAATTCCCCCAAAATGACACGAACTATCTTTTATAACATGTGATACTTGAAAAGGAAGAAACCGATGATATAGCACAAAAAAAAAAAAAAAAAAAAATCAATAGTCTTTGATATTGACAAATGATGGCTGAAAGTACTGACATTGGACAATCTTTATCTAAATATGCACCTGCAAAACAAGAAAATGATCTGAAATGTAGAAAAATAAATAAATAAAAAAGTTCTAGTTATTTCAGAAAAGAAGATTCTCACTCACATGATTGTATTTAGTAACCATATTAGGGATGTAACCCTTGATGACTTTACAAAAGAAAACTCCTGTAGTTTTAACAAATTAAAGATTATGCCTGTTTCATATCATCTAACAACTCTCTAGGCATTCTACAAAAATCAAGCATTTTTTAAAAGTAATTTGTCATCAGACAGTTCTTTGAGTAAATTTGGAAAGAAATTAAGTGTTAAAATTCAAGTATGAGTGTTTAAAACGTCAGATTCTATATATCAACTCATAACCCCCCACCCCAAATCTTGAAGGTTCAAATGTCAGCAGAAGCTACTTTATGTCTACCTATCATTATGGCAAGAAGAAATAGTAATAAAAATTATTTTCTAATTTTAACTTACCATATTTGGAAAAACTTTCATTTGCCGATTTTTGTAAGGTGTGTCATGTTGAAGAATACTTCGTAATATTGGGAATGTGTCTTCAACTCTTCCCATTCTAGCAAAACAAATTCCCTGGAAAAAAAAAATTTACACTTATGAATGTTTTGACAAAAGTTTTTTTCCAGTGTTAGATGAATGCAAAAGTTAGAAATGGTAACTAATTGTATATTACATCCATAGTCTCATTCCCAAAAGTCCTGAAAACTTTCACAAACACTTAATACATTGCAGACAATATATGAATTCCAGAAATATTGGATGAAAATTGGAGGAAAAGATAGAATGAGGGAAGAAGAAAAGAATAGAAACTTTTAGATTGGTTGATTTTTGCAGTTTATTAACTTTTTGAAGGTTATTTAAAGCCAAAAAATACTTTTGGGATTGTAAGAAGCTTTTGGAGAATAATGATTTTATTGATATAAGTCATACTATTTAATCATAAATGGGGGTAGAGAAGAAGTAGATTCATGAATTTTGAAATGGTATTTCCACAAAAGTGAATATAATGAACCTGACTGGAATTGGAACTTGGCTCTCTGATTTCCAATTCTGAACTGTTATCCAATATACCTCCTCCTATACATCCAAGCTTACAATATCTGGTATTACAAAGTTGTTAGCCATCTAGGTACTGATAAGGTTTAATACTGCTTAACTTTTTGCTTAAATATTATGAGAACCAGTGTTTCAACATATGGCTGTAAGTCAAAAGTCTTGGAAACTTTCACAAATACCTTGTACCTTGCAGATGATATATGGATTCCAAAAATATTGGATGACAATAAGAGAAAAAGAAAGAATGAGTGGAGGAAAGAAACTTTTAGAAAAATATTTTTATCAAAAGAAATTTGTAGCAAACTACTTGACAGACAACTGTGGGACAGAACCAAACAAACCCCAAACGAGATTGACATCAAGAAATGGAAATGGGGATAGTTTGGCCACACACTCTGCAAGCCTGCTTCTAGTGTCACCAGGCAGGCAGGCAGGCCCTTGATTGAAATCCACTAGGGAAGCAAAAAGTAGGTTGACCAAAACAGACTTGCAGAAATGTCAATGCAGAAGTGAAGACAGCCAGCACGACATGGGCCAAGTTGAAGAGGATCACCTGGAACCACACCCTTTGGGAAAGTGTTGTTGCGGCGTCTCTATGTTCCCCAATGAATCAAGAGATATAAATAATAAAAGAAAATAAACTTGACTATTTACAAAGTATTTAAACATTTTCAAATTTTTTGCTTAATTTTTTTTCATATTTTGATTTAAATACATTGCCTACTTTTTTTTTTATGCCAGAAAGGAAGTGGTATGAATTGTCTGACCACAGTGTGTTTTGTAGGACCCAAGAGACATTGGACTCACATTTCTACTACCACTGACATCAACCTAATGCTGTCTGGTTCTGTCCTTTGACCTTTGAGACTCAAATAGCAGAATCTCAAATCTCTGCTACCCAGTCTAACTGAATATGTAAATCTACATGGCTGAATATCCTCTTCTATAGACACTTATCATCAAAGATGTCATCATAAGCATGCTTAAATTCCCGTGACCTTATGACATCGCAATCCTGTCCTCAGTCACCAGGTGGGTCTGTGGTCAATCCTTGCGGCCAGCCTTGGAGTTGGTTGCTCAATCTTCAATTCACATCCTGCCCACGTTGTGTTTCTTTCAGAACACAGGGCAGGCAAAGGCCAAGTTGCATACTCAACGTCACTGATCCAGTAGCTTTGGTGAGATGACGTCACAAGGAACAAAGTAATGGACAGCTGTGTAACAGAACAACTTTATATCAAAAGTTCACATATTGAACATTCTACTCACTATATTAACAGCATACATACTTTCAACACCTTCTCCATTAATACCCCGTGACACTATGTCTAGTTATGCTTGATAAACAGGTACAAGGTTGAAATGTGATTTCTTCGGGCTGACCAGTCAGGTGTATTTGGTAGTTTTAATAAAGCCAGAGTCTAAGTTCTTTCTACAGAAGCTGTGCAGGGTTTGACAAAGCGGGTCTTGGACCAACTGACATGTCTCTCTTGCACTATTTACATTATTCGGGCTATTGTCCTCATCTTTGTTGTGTTATTCATCGCAACGTTTTGGCCGTTGTACACTCTGGCCTTCTTCAGGTGGTTGGAATATTGAAGTGAACCCTTTATTTCACTTGCTGGGGTAGACCATTCTAGTTCCATGTGCCATGTCTAATGGGTGTCAGTTATCAGTTATCTCCTGTTAATCCCCCTCTCCAAGTTCTCCACTGCCTTAACCAGGTATTGAACTCACACTCTTTGCATCCTGTTGCTGGATCTAACTAATGTCTTTAACCACTGTGCCATGTGTCCTGCAATTGGAGCTGTTTGATTCCTTCTTCTCTATCTCTCACTTCACTCATCTTTGCAGTAAATTGATTGCCGGGCCAAATGTGGGGAGATCCCTCTGCCAAGGAGTGGTGGTGGCAGAATATCAATCTGCCCAACTCCTTCCATCTCATGTGGGTGCCTCTCACCATCACTGCCTGAAGGGTGCAGGCGATTCCTCCACCTTCCTTGAAATTTCACTTATGCCTCCACCACTCTATCCATCTCCTGATCAAACCTGTTCCCACAGGCTAGGCGTGGTCTGGCCCAAATTGCTAAATTCAATTATCATCTGATATTTCTATCTCTTGCCAGTTCTTTGGTCAACAAACAACAAGAAAAGACAATTCCTCTTAATAAATTCTATTGTTTCTTAGGCAGACAACAACAAAAATATAACAACAATGCCATTTCTGTTTTCCAAGTCTTATCAACTGACTGATTTTTTGCCAGAGACTTGAGGTTACCTTCTCTTAACTCACTGGTCATTAAAATATAATCTATTCATCCACAAATCGATTGGACACTTAAGAAAATATCATCAGTTAACATCAACTTGACCAAAAACAGATGGTGCTTATGTGAGCCATTGTCAGCATCTAACCCCCACCCCTGGTGAGAGATAGAAAAGAAACAAATATCCTTTCCCTCCATTTTCCTTGTCTTATCAACATACTTTGAGTCTATTGAAAAACAGCGTTTTTCTTGTTTTCCAGTTTGTTTTAAAATCCTTTTATTTTTTCCAATTTAACAGCACCTTCTTAATAGTGTCACATCCTGCCCATGTTGTTTTTCATTGAATTGCAGCTGGTATTAATATGTACTGTCATAATCAAGCCAAGCTGTCGAGTAGAGGGTGTCTCCCACAAGATTGACATCATTTTGTAGTCTAATAACCTGGCCGATTCTGACCCAAATGATCTCAAATTTTAACAAAATGTGTAAAAACTCATTATGTTGACTGTGTGGACTTATCTTAATGAGAATCTATCACGAAGATGGATTGGATGTGCCAGTGATAATGACAATGTGCTGTTGAAATGGTCACCATGTTCATCTAACTTGACATCTTGTGATTTTTTCTATGAGGCTATGTGAAAGGACAGGTCTATATCCCACCCCATCTTCCTACAAACCTAGAGGAACTTAAGCAGAGAATCAATGGAGAATGTTATCCAAGGCATGCTACAACATGTTTGGCAGGAGCTGGACTACCGACAAGTGGTCAATATATTGAACATTTGTGAAGCTTTGTAAAATCAGTTTTAAAATTTACATCCCTTTGAATATCTTATTCAAATTTTGATAAATAAATCTTTTATTGTTCAACATGAATTCTGTTTAATTTTGTTTGCCTGGGACATGTAGTTACTCAGATGTTCACATTTTAAATGATCTCAATTTTTGGAGGATGCTCTGTATATTACAGGTATTTCAAATTTATTACAATAATCAACAATACCATTTTTTAAAATTATATATTAAATTTCACCAAATACAAGGCACTGAAGATAGAAGGTTACAGTCAAAATGGTCATGATGGATGATGTGCTTGATATGAATGAAGAAGTGATAGGATGCTCCTCAAATCTCCTGATCAGAGGCCTTGCTGCCAGATGTAGTTTATCATCATACCCAGAACTACATTGAAGAAGGACAGAGGAAACCAGCACATAACCTACTTAACTAACTTGTATGAATGGATGGCAAAACAGAGACTAGGAGAAAGAGTGAAAAGATAAAATTTACTGAGTTACAAAGGATAGGAAAGTTGTGGAGAGCCATGATTGCCCAGGCCCTGAAAGGACACAGCAGATAAAAGAAGAAAAAGCCCAGATATAGCAGTAATACTCCATCTTTGGCCTAATCTGAATATTGTGAAGTCAAAGCATGGCAGAAAGAGTCAGGTACTTACTGGAGTGGTACAAAGAGCCAACAACCTTTCGAACAACTTTTGCAATCAACTGAAGATAGGAAGTAAACTTGAGACCCAGATGACGTTCAAAGGAGGGAGACCTATTGAGAATGGAACGGCTCATCATGTCTGGAAATAACTTGGGATCTGAATAGTGGTGATGAAACCATACTAGCTTGATTTTTGAGAAATTGAAAATTAGAAGCCATTTATTTTCCCATTGAGTTGTTAGAGTGAGATCAGAGGAGAGAACAGTTGTAAAGCTTTGGTTACCTTTGGTTTTGAAGCTGCTTCCAGAAACAAGAAAATTATTTATTTATTATTTATAAATAGGCATTTACCAATGATTTCAGAATATTCTTGGGCAGAACATTAATCAAAAGATCTGATAAAAAATAAAACTAGAATGTATGCTTTTATTTATCTCTCTTTTTAATGTTATCTACAGCTATTTTCAAAAAGCTGAAAAATTGTCTTATTCCCCAATATTAACAATATAAAGAAAAAAGTTTAAATTCTTGGATCCATACTAAAATTTAATCGTATGTTCCATTGACCACCCTTTCCAAATTAAAAACTTTTGGAGATACAAATAACATTTGATTTGTTTAACAGCATATCAACTCCTTACCACAAATAAGACAAACCTGTGTAAAGCTAAGAAGGTTGGTTCACTGTGTCGTGCTAGACATTTTTTCTTGTCAGAATTGATCTTACATATCTGTCTATATCTCTGAAATGAGGTATTATGATTACTTGCATTATTTATATTATTCGGACTGTTATCCTCATCTTCATTGCCATATTCACAACGTTTCGGCCTCTATATCTCCGAGATGAGGTAATAAGATTACTTGCATTATTTATATTATTAGGACTGTTATTCACATCTTCATTCTCATATTCACAACATTTTGTCCGCTGTACATTCTGACCTTCTTCAGGTGATTGGAATTTCAAACCGAACCCTTTATTTTGTCCACCGCAGTAGATTGTTCTAGTTCCATGTGCCATGCCTCTTCTGGATGTCTCAGTTATTTCCATTTAACTCAACTCTCTAAGTTTTGGTTCACCACTGCTGTGGCCTGGTATTGAACTCACAACTCTTTGTGTCTAGTCACTGGATCTAACCAACATCTTTATCCACTGGGCCATGTGTCCTTGATCTTATATATATAATTCATCCTTGCTTTGAATATTGCTGACACATCTAACCTGGTGCACCTGCTATATAATTAGAGATTCTTGATAAAATCCAAAGAAGAATTTGCAATGTTATTGGTCCTGACCTGGCATCTCAGCTTCAGTCACTTTCCCACCACTGTAACATAGCTCTCTTGTGCCTTTTCTATAGATACTTTCATGATAATTGTTTTAATGAACTTTTCTTTATGACACCTACACTTTATAAATTTAAGTGTTGTACTAGATTGGCAGGAAATTCTCATCCTTTTATAGTTGAAATGGTTAGATGTAACCATAAGTTCTATGCTAACAGTTTCTTCTTTTACACCTCTCACTTGTGGAACTCTCTTCTGGCTTCTCTCTTCCCAGCCAGCATTGATCTTCAAAAATTTAAATGCAATGTCAATTATTATCTTCTTAATTCTTGTTCTTTTATTGTTATCTCCTTAATAGTGTTTTTTCCTAATATTCTTTAATACTCAGTAATCATCTCTTATGTCTTAGTGGCTTTATTGCCTTGCTTGGGCTAAAAAAAAAAAATAAAATAAAAATAACCATTGCCTTCATTGACAGAGGTAATAAGGGAAGTAACTTCGTTTTACTACAACGGTCGGCTATAACAGACATGAAATAGGCTGAATAAAGTAAAAAAAAAAGATTACCTTAATGTTTTTTATAACAAAATTAAAATTATCATTTCTGGTTGCAATCATTTCCAAAGCAAGAGCATTGTCATTCTGAAAAAAAAAAAAAAAAAAAACAAACAAACAAAAATTACATTTTCCCTTATTTCAATTATTGCGACAGACAAAAAGAAGTTTTAAAAGATTATTTTTTTTAAATAGAAAAAAATTTTGCAGAAAGAGTTGTTTACAATTTATAATAATAATGAACTTAAAAATTTTCAAATGCATTTTAAAATCAATACTTTTTTGTTTTTTTAAAATTTTTTTATATCCACACATTATAAAAGTCATATTGAGCTAGGTATGCTAATATTTCACTGCTTGGTTAACATTTAGCACTCTGCATCTACTATAATAAATATTACTTCCCCTTTTTGCTGTATATGGAATCCCTTCAAAATATAGTGTTTTATATATTCTATATATTAGAAATTGCACTAGCCTGGCTTTCAATTTCAGTCAAGATTGTTTTAGCTGTTGCCATAGAAGGATATGATTACACAACAAAGAAATTCAAATTCAACTTGCATTAGCAGGACTAATATTTTGTTTAATGAAAATAGTCACCTACAGAGTGTTAAAGGTTTTTAACTGGCCAATTTAAAGAAACCCAATATACATTACCTGATTTAATGCAAGCATTGCACCAAAGATAATTCCTCTGTTGGAAATATTGGCGTTGGCTTTATTACAAGCAATCATTAATTCTTTACATTGTTGTAAAGCTTCTGGTGTGTTCTGATGAAAAAAAAATAACAGAATATATATATTGTTATTTGTCAACATTCAGTTCAGTAAAAATGTGGGAGAGAGTTTTCATTAATTCATCAAATCAAGGAATACAAAACGTGAGCAGCTACACAAAGTACACATATATAGTAAGTAAAATAAAGAAAGATAGAAAAAAACCCAATGATTGAGTTAGCAGTATTAAAATGATACCTAAACATCCATCCTACAATGATTCTAGTGTATATATATATATATATATATATATATATATATATATATATATATATATATATATATATATAATTATGGCATTAAAGCCAAGAAAATTTTTTTACTATAGGCCATGATAAATTTTAAAATTTTAAAATGAAAACACGAACACAAGTCGACCGGTTTTGGCCTCTCTCATCAGAACTGTAAACGGGGAAACAAATTATGAGAAGAAAGCCTGTCGCGGATGATGTGAATGAATGGACAGGGAAAATATATAATAATAAAAGTTATAACATCAAAGAGCATGCTCGTTATTCCATCTGAAGGTGTTGGAGACGCTGTTCATCAGGTTCCACTTCGTAAACAAAGAGACCGTTTGCTTGGGCTTGCGGTGCTGTGTCTCTAGCATAACACAAATCTTGAGGTGCTGGGGTATATATATATATATATATATATATATTTCTGGAATACCTGTCTACCTTCACAATACAGGAAAATAATTGTTGACAACACCAATATACTACACCAAGAAAATAACACAAACTCTAAATTCTTGATATCCTCTATATCAAAATCAACCTACCAACACTCAACAAAATTTATTACAAGTGTAGCAACAATGTATTAAAATGCATATAACATTTATATACTAAAGCCATTTTACATATTCTCCCTTATATTGAAATGCTTGTTATAAAAATAATTCCATCACTACAATGGATAAATTTTAAAATTCTAAAATAACTATTTGAGCCCAATTGCGTGTTTTTAAAAATCACTATCACAGCAGAATGCAGATTTTAACAGTTATAATAAGTTTGTCTTTGTAATTTATCCCTGAAGATGATCTTAGAAAAGATTGAAAGTACTTGGATTAAAAAAAAAACAAAAGACAAAAACTATGGCACCTTCCTCAATGAATTTCATCTTAACATCAAGAAACTGATTAGACAACTGGAAAGGATCAGTATAAAAATAAACAGATATAATATGTCTATATTATTCAATGAAACATGTTTGAATGAAGATATGCTGACTATATATATATATATATACACACACACACACACAAAATGTTTTTGTGTGATGTGTTTCATTCTTTAGGACTTCATCAGACTAGGTTTATGTTTACATTGATGCTGATACACATGTACATAAACAAGACACTGGGAATTTTAAATTTAAAAATATTTTTTCTTACTGTGTATTTTGGATATATCCCAGCTGATTTCATTTAGATTCTTTTTTTTTTTAAGAAACCCCTACGAGATGGACAAATGCACACAATTACAAATGCACATTATCACTTGTTATCCACTTAAACATACAAGAATCTTCACAAACTAGAATTATCGACAGTCTTAATACGTGTGACACATGTCTAAGCAATGAGAACTGACCCAAACATAATTGAAAATACTAGTATTTTCTGTCTGTTTTCTCTCAATCTCTGACGAAGCTTTAATAAAAGTGAAACATATTAGATTGATTTAAGTTTCCTATTTGTTCTTTTATTTTATCATCCTGTTGGATTCTGATCCATATTTGATCTACATTTGACCTTTAACTCAAGCATAAAAAAGACTGTCGCCATTCAACATTGACCTCAATGTCTACTTTTATATTTACATACACTCTCTGATATTGAGCCATTTTAACCCAGAATTATAACATAGTTTAAAACTATATATATTTATCATGTTAAACATTATTTCTAGTGGACACTTGTATTTGAGTAGGTGCTCCATTTATTTATTAAACAGTATATTTATCTTTTTATTTTTGTCTACCAGCCTGAATGTTTGACAAACCTTATTAAAGAAAAATTTACACACGCCAGCAGGATTTGAACCTATGACATTCAGGGCACTGGAAACTATCGTTAAACCCAGAATGCCTTAACCAACTTGGACACAAAGAGCAATCAGTCAGGCAAGGCCAAATTTTGTGCCTTCAAGTGAAATTTCTCTCATCATAAAATCTCTCGAAGTTTTTCATATCTGCACAGTTTCATATATATATGTAAACAAAGAGAGTTTTAAAATTGATTTTTTTTTTAATCCAACAGATTTTTATCACTAAGTGTTATTTCTAGTGGACACTTGTATTTGAGTAGGCACTCCATTTATTTATTAAACAGTATATTTATTTTCACCTATTAGTTTGAATATTCAAGAAAGCTTATTAAAGCAGGATTTAAATGTTAGGGCAGAGAGAACTACTCTCAAGCCCAGCATGCCTTAACCAACTTGGCCACAAAGAGCAGTAGGCCAAATTTTGTGCCTTCAATTGAAATTTCTCTTCATAGAATCAAAGTTTTTCATATCTGCATATGAGCCAGTCCGTTTATTTATTAAACAGTATATTTATTTTTGTCTATAGAATGTTTGAGAAATCTTATTAAAGAAAAATTTGCCCTCTCCAGCAAGATCTGAATCTATGTCCCTCAAAGCAGAGGAAGCTAGTATTTAGCCTGAAATGCTTTAACCAACTTGGCCACGAATATATATATATATATTACATAATAGAGAAATCCCAAATTACCTCATGAGTATAGACTATTTCAACTTGTGTTAATACATTAGCATTTTTCAACTCAACTGGACTAACACAGAGTTAGAAACTTAAAATTAAATATTAAAAAAAAAAAAAAAAAAAAAAGAAGATATACATCTGTTGAAAATATGATATTCAGCTAACCGAACAAAATACCTAAGTGGTGGCAAGGGGAGATGGATGTTGTCTGGCTTAAATGGAAAAAAGGTTACACAAAATTTGACCCAGATATTAACTCTAACACTCCAAGTTGGGGGTTATGAAAAAACATCAATGGGAAATTAAAGTATTACCAAAAAAAATAAGTAAAAAAAAAAATAAAATAAAATAAATAAATAAATTATTAGTCATATAACAAAAACCAAAAAAATTGTTACCATTACAAATTACCAAAATATGTTAGCAAATAATATAAAACTAACAATAAATGTTAATTAGATAGTTTATATTGAAAAAAAAAAAAAACATTTAAAAAATTTGAAAATTATTAAAATTTTTTTTAAATATATATATATATATATATATATATATATATATATATATATATATATATATATATAAGTAATATCTATAGTTAAAATATATAATTAAAAATTAAAAACATTTTCAAAAATTTAAAAAATGTAAAAAAAATGAAGTAAAGAAAAAACAATTGTGATATAAAAAATGATTAAAAGTAAAAAGATAAAAATATTAGCCATATGCAATTTTAAAAGATAAATTACCAAAAATACCAACCATTTATTCTAATTTTCTCTTCTAAACATAAGTCACACCTACTCTTAAGATTATAAGGAGTGTGAGCAAAACCTATAATTTTCCAGTCAATCTGAGGGTTCAGATTCAATCCCTCAATTCCAAAAATATTTTGGAAAGAGCTGCCTGGTATTTTAATCTTGGGTTGGAAAAATAGCAGCTATGGGTGTAAAATATATTGTTGCTTATTTCGCTATGAAATGTATCATTGGTAATTTTACTATAAATATGTATTGTTGGTAATTGTTTTAAGATAAAAATTGTATTGCTGGCATCTTCACCATAAAAATGTATTTTTATACTTTCATAGTGTTTGTTTTTTGTTTGGGTGTTCACTATTTGCCCATAGCTGGGACCCTAACAGGTGCTATCAATCCGGGTCAGGGTGGACCTGGGAACAACAGCAATTAGGAGGTAGTTCCATGCTACTCAAAACCTCCAATTGCCCAATCAGAGGCCTTGCTGCTGGATGTAGTTTATTGCCATACCCAGGACTAACTCCTGTCTTAATAGTAAGTCTAATTAGTTTGATAAGTTAAGATTAACAGCTTTTATATATATATATATATTCACACACACACACACACAATGTTGTTATCTGAGACAAGAAATGGCTTGTTAATTTTAATATAACCTAAATAAAAATGTACTCTTTTGTCTTAAAGAACCTTTTTGCCTTCCATCAATTTGAGTGATGCTAACCTCCAGGACAGTGATTCCATGCACCTTTTCAAGCTAACATTCTCCATTGGCATAAAGTAAAAAGATTATATTGAATCAATTACTACATCTTCTACTAGGAAACTTTGTTCACTGTATTGTGCTCAGCAATTTTTCTTGCCAGAATCCATCTTACACTTTCATAAATCTACCATTTGTCTAGGTTTTGAATAATATTGCCACATCTGGTCTGGTGCTTCTATGTATTTAGAGATTCTCATTAAATTCAAAGAATCTGCAATGTTATTGGACCTGACCTGCCATCTCAGCTTCAGTTGCTTTCCAACTACTCTAATACAGCTTCCCTCTGCCTTTTCTCTAAATATTTTCATGGTCATTGTTCCAATGAGCTTCCCTCTTTGGTATCTAGACTTTATGAATTTAAGCTAAATACTAGATTGGCAGCTAGGTCTCATCATTTTACATTTGAAATGTCTAGATTTAACTGTAAGTTCTATGCTAATAGTTTCTTCTCTCACACTTCTTGTTTATGGAACTCTCTTCTGACTTCTTGCTTCTCAGTCAACTTTGATCTTCAAAAATTTAAATGCAATGTCAATCATTATCTTCTGAATTCCTGTTCTTTTATTATCCTCTTTCACTCAGTAACCCCTTGCATCTTAGTAGCTTTATTGCCCTATATGGAATGAAATGGTAACACCCCCCCAGATATAAGCTTCCTTTTATCCCAAAGTCTTCCATCAGTGGCTGCACAATCCCTCTTTACGAAGTGCAATACAAATAGGAAGCCCCTCAACTCTAATGAGGTGGCCTGTTAGCATTGATTTCATTTGTTGTTCATTAATACTTACCATTGCAAAGAAAGAAGCCATCACAATAGTTGTACAATCTCCAGGGTAGATGTAACCATTTAATTTTCTTTCGTTAATTTCTTTGTATATATTGATAACATCTTCATATCTCTTTGATTCATACAACAAATCCAAAAGGATTGTACAACTTGCCATTTGGTTAAAGATGCTTTTGGTAGACTGAAACCCCAAAAAACAGTTCATTTAGATATCAATTAAATAATAATGAAAACTAATTTACAGAGAAACTTACTTAGGTAATTACAATGCAGTAGAGGTCAAAATTACTAGGGTCAGGTCAGGAAATCAACTGGTGACCCATTTGTATTCTTTTTAAAAATTGCCTAAAACATCATTCGTTGCATGATGTTTTAGGCAATTTTTTCAATTTAATTCATTTTGGAGATTTTCTAGGCATTTAGGGGATGAAGAAGAAGTGTATACAATTTACTTGAAAATGCAATAGTTTATGGTGAAAGGGCTTTAATCAATAATGGCATCCTCAAATGGTAGTGGGTGCCTTCGGCTATTAATATATAAGATTATTTTTGGATAATCTAACAATCATTTCACTAAGCTTTTATAATTTTAATAAATGGTTTGCATGAACTGGTAAGATGCCACCACTGCCTTTATCCCAGAATAGTTGGTACACTTGCATACACACTCAGTCAGTTATGAGCCATGCGTGATACACGCTTAGGTGATCATGTATCTTTCGATACATGACTGATGAGGCATATTTTTTCCCTGCAGTGGGTTGCCATTTCTTTCTGCGGTAGACTAGTTGCTATCTAAGGCTATAGAACCTGGTCTGTCCTATTTACTCATAACTGGGGGGAGAAGAAGAGGATTCATACCTTTCCCAAGGGTATTAGCAAGTAAGCTCTCCAATTTCTCAATCTGAGTCGCTATCCATTACTCTACTGTACATACACTAAATGTATCAACTATTATGGGACAGATGCAATAAACAATGTTACGTTTGTCCCATAATAGTTGGTACACCTGCATACACACATTGCTCTAATACTATGAGGAAAACCAAGAGTCTGTTTCTTCACCAAACTATGGGTTGAGTACAGTGGTGGCATCCTGAATTTCTAGGAAACATTTCTATAAAGGGAGGTAATCTTTAGGGACCTATTTTCTTTTCAAACTGACAATGGCAACAACTCCCTTTATAATATTAAAGAGAAACCATTTTGATAATAAATAAATGTCTTCTATTAAATTAAGATATTACCAGATTGAAATTCTGTTCTCATCATATTTCTGTTCAGAAGTGCGATGTTTTTAACTCTAGTGTCATCTGCTGTGTTATGATTCCTTAGAGACATTTGAACTGAATTGCTGCAGTCCCAAAGAGCCAATGAAAGACCTATCAAATTTATGACTAGAAGATTTGCCACATCTTTAACTTCAAGGTGATTTCTTTTGTCAGAATAAATTGTGTTCATCACAGAAAACACTCTGCTTCCATAGAACTTACAGCAATGGTATTAATTATATTTTTATCAATTATATATTGGCTATTAATATATAAGATTATTTTTAGATAATCCAACAACTGGTTCACTAAGCTTTTATCATTTTAAGAATCCGTTTGTGCAAACCAGTAGGATGTCACCACTGGTTTTAATCATAATGCTAACAATGATCTTCTGAACGTATGTCATCCTTCATTAACTCAATGGATATCTATTCACACAGTTTGCTTTTCTTGCATTTATGATGTTTTATGATGGTCACTGATGTATGTTCATTGTTTTTATTGATGTTATTATACAGTGTAGCAGAAATACCTCCCACATAATGGTAAGACATTAGCTAGATGAAGACACTATTGCCACTAATAACTTACCATTATGTGGGAGGTATTTCTGCTGCACACTGTACAAAGAAAATATATATAGAATATTTTAGTTGGTGTAATTGATGATGGCCATTTTGTGGGGATGTATCTCAGATTTTTTAAGGGACTTTTTAATTTTTTCTCTCAGTATTACTTTATTAGCCATGTTCCAAATATGAATAAAATCTGATCAAAATGTGACTAATTACAATGAGTTTTGTTATGACAAATGTTCTGGTTAGAATGATCATTTCAACAATCTTTAAAAAAGAATATATATTCTTCATGATCATTTTTGGCTAATATTTTTCATTGAAAAAGGATTTTTGTGTGGGTTTAACTGTTTTTGAGCTGAACTACATTACAATGGCATTCAATGTTTTTAACATTAGAAATTTTATATCTTTTTTTATGTTGAGTAATAATTTACACAGAGCCATATTAATAATCATAACAGCAGTGATATAATAACCGAAAAAAGCAGTTTTCTTTAAAACTGACCCTTTCTTGACTTAATCAGATTTTCACCCAGCAGATCCTCAAAATTGCATAAATTAGGAAAAAAATGCCTGAAAACATATTCAAGTTATTAATATCTTTCAAAGATATCACTATATTCAGAAAATGGATCCCAAAAACTTGTTCATACCTCCAACCTCTAAATAAAATAGAAATATTATCTTTGTTACAATCAAGATCAATCAGTTTTAAAAATCGATATTTAAAAATCAATTGTAAAATACATTTCATTTAATTTGAAATGAACATTGCAAAATGTGCTTAGACTATTGATCTGCTTGTAGCTACCAGAATGTTTCAATAGATTTTCATTTTACAGCCTTCTTCAAAAGTCAAGAATGAATCCAACATTTTGAACAAATCCTGGAATAATCAGGATTTATCTCAAAATCACAGAAGGCAACAAATACTGAAAGCAAATAAGTCTCAATTCTGTACTAGTTACTTATTGATCAGCTACAGGCATGTTCTTCAGAATTACTTTCTATAATTAGAGAAGGAGAAAAGAACAAAAACATTATAAATAGTTGAAAACACAATTTCAACAATTACCTCATTCAGAAAAAGCTCCAGTGCTAAATCAGTTTTCTTCAGAGTGTAAAGCAGTCTTAAAATAACTGGGCCAAAAACATATTGATTAAACCGTTGGGCTGAAGAATCTTTGCAGTATCTGGAGAGAAATTAGAATAAAATCATCGAAAAACATTTGTCAGTTTTTAAGTTGAATAAAGTTTTGTTTTTTTTTCAGTGATGAAAGGGAGAAAAAAATCAATAAGAGATCAAATAAAAAGTGACATTTCATTACAAGTCTAATGCCAACAACAAAGTTTTTTTCTTTTTCCACTCAAATCTTGTTTTTCACCTCTTTGCTTGAAGGTAAAATGAGGTGACAACTTGGTGCAAAGAATGCACAACTATTGTGCATGGATTGTGTCAAAGAGTTTCATTCTGCTAAAAAATATTAAATTTAGGAAACTAAGGTTTGTTTTATTTTTCCATTTTTTCTATACTTTTATAATCTAAAAGGAATAAAATATCATTTTTATTAAAGTGAAAATAAGCATAAAAACTCTTTACAAAAATGAATTTTCTTCTACTTGTGTTTTTTTTTTTTTTTTTTAAATCAATTCAGCATGCACATACAAGAAATCTTCATTGTTTAACCCTTTAGCCTTCACCCCAGACAAAACCGCCCCATAAATATTGGCTATCAATGTTCAACCTACCCCATCTATACTCAGTTGTAATATATAATGACATCATAGCAAATAATGCAGAAAGTCATGCAAACAGTGAAACTTTGAAAGATGATATTTACGGGAGGGTTTGGGCAGGATATAGGGTTAAGGGCTAAACAATTCCAAAGTTTTACTGATATTTTATTCCAGCCATTTTTTTTCACCTAATTTCAGCAATTATAAAATGAACTTTGACATGGATAATGTATTGAAAATAAATATTTAAAAATAAGAATATATTATATTCATTGTAGCATAAATTTCAAGGGTTCAAATGCTACACCCAATTGGAATTTTTCAGTAAAATAATTATTAGGTATATCAGTTTCTGTGGCTAATTCACCAAATTAGATATTGATATGTCCTGGAAAGGGATATGTTTGATCAAAGTAGCTAAGTGGTTTAGGCTACTGTAACCAAGTAGAATAATCTAGCAGGTAACCATAATGGACTGGTACTCGTTGTAGTCGCAGTCAATAGGTGTAGGCAATAGGCGTAGACCAATAGGATAGCCAATGGCGTAGTCCAATGGGCGTCATCGTCCTGTACCTCTACATCAGCCTGTACTTATGGCTGACACCAGCCAATCATATTCCTGTGAGGGGGAACACAGGTGTATGCATATTCATTACATCAGATATGAATAAAAGTTTTTTTTTTTGTTTATTTTGATGAATGAAATATAAAATCTGAATCATAAATTCAACAGTCTACCATATTCTTCATACTTTTAAATAATAAAAAAAAATGAAAAAACAAGTTTTTTAATTGAGTATTTGCAGATTTTGACCAACAAAAAATTATTTCATTCCTTTGAAAATCAATGCTTCACACAAGGCAATCAATCAAATGACTAATCAAGTAGATTTTTTATTTGGTTTAATTTCTAGTGGTAGCAAAAGCTAAATAAACGTCTTTTTATATTTTGAATGACCGATATTCATTATATAGAATAGAGTTAAAATGGAACAAGAAAATGGCTTCTTTATGTATCAGACTAAATGGTAACCAGATTTCAGCTTGATATCTTCTCAAAATGCAAACTTATGAAACAGCAAATTCGGCAACTCATTCTGCTGATTTCAGATAAGAAAATCCAAGCAAATTTCAAGAGGCCATAACTTCTGAACTTTAACTTGAATGAAGATGAAACTTTCAATTTGTCTGGTTCTCTAGGGTCAAAATGAAATTTTCATCAAAATCTGAGATGGTGACCATAGGATCGTTGGTTGAATTGGTGTGAAATGGTGATTTCCTAAACATAGCCGAAAGTATGGAGCACCCAGTGAGAATCAAGCTCACTAATTAGTTGTAATTGATCTAGGGAGACAAGCTTGCTAACCATTAAACCATGTCAAAGTGCTAAAGTTGTTATGGAATGACCCCCTACGATTTTAAGACAGGACATGAAACACACTCATTCTCTAATTTGATTTTTATCACATGTTCTAACACTGATATTCTCACATGTTATAAAATGCCTATCTTATTTTTTTTTTGTTTAATTCCTCAAAACCATATTAAATAAAAGATCACATCAAAGTTTCTGGTCCATCATGTTTTTCAATGAAAAACTTTGACTTATCCTATTTTTATATAAAATTTAAATAAACTTATATACCTTACTTTTGAGGCCAGCATGCTCACCTGATTTGTTATACACAAAATAAAATAAAAAATTTAAAAAATGGGTAAATTGAACTCAAGAATGGCTGCTCATATATAGATGGTAAAGATTGGAATGTAGTCAAGATAATAAACAGAACGACACTATGATAAAATGACTGAAAGTGCATATGTTAGGAATTGACAACCTCTTCAGTAGACCTAGTGTAGAGATGAACACCCTCTGGGAGTATGTGATTAAGAAAGAACAGTCAAAAAAATTCTACCACCTGAGTACAGACATTAGGTTTAAGGCGCCAAAGTTACACCACTATATTGTCTTGGAGATTAATGCATTGATTAAAGCATATCTGGTTCCTTGGAAACTGTGAAACTGTTGTGGTAGGATCCACCTAATTTGCATAGGGGAGTACCGACCATATAAATATGGTTGGTACCAGGAAGACGAGAAGAGGAATCAAGAGATTCAATCCAGAGACTCTACCCGACTGCGACTAAGTCAACACATTCTCCAGGAACGGTCTTCCCAAGAATATACAAAAGACTATATGTAAATATTGTGTACCTTTCTTGTTTCAATACATTTTGTTTTAAGTACATTTTGTGTTGTATTATTATTCCATGCATTAGTCAAGTTTCAACAGAAACACATACTCTAGGGTTCAGTGGAAGAAATGGACATGTGACATAAAGGTGAATAATTTTGGTGAGTTGTCACTTGTAAATATACAATTGGAGTCCTGCCCAAGCTTGCCACTGACTGAACAATGATTCTCAGTTCTTGTTGATGTGTACCAAAAGCTGGGAAAGGGCTTGCTGCATGCTCACAAGGTAACAAGATGAAAGACAAATGTCATGTTGGGAAATAATAATGTGAACCCCTGTTTCCCATATTATACTACTCATCTGGGTTGGTAGGTAAGTGATAATTGGGACAACTTTTGCTATATTGATCTAACAGCTCAGCTGTTCTCCCCACTAACTAATCACCTATCTACACATCCTGATGTTGTGGCTGGTAATGTAAATGTATGGCACAAGAATCATGCAACAGTCAAGTACATCTCCCACCAAGTATGGACCAGAACTCTTCCCCAACCATGACTGTTAATATAGACCAGCACCCAGATATACTCTATTTCTGGTTTTTTAACCACTTAATATCTAAGAACCCCTCATCCACTCCTTCACTTCTGTGTTACCCTTCAGTCAAAGTTGATGGTGCTTAGAAGACCGAACTTTAAGAAGAACCATCTGCTAGATATTAAACAGAAAAACTCTTCAAAATTTTGAGAAATTTATTGACTACGATATACCTGAAGAAGGCCAGAGTATATATATAATGACTGAAATGCTGAGAGTCTAAAACCAATATGTGCATGTTGGATGCCTGAAGAAGTCTGAGAACAGAATGGCCAGAATGTGCTGATCTAAATAGCAAAGCATGTAATAATGAGAATTCTCCATCTCAAAAGTTCTGACATAAATTATAAATCTCTCAAAATCAACATTTAAGGCATTTCATGAAAATACCAAAAATTGTGTGAAATACATACAAACACACATATATTATATATATATATATATATATATATATATATATATATATATATATGTGTGTATACTACCTTAAAAGCATAACTTTCATTAAATTAACTTCCTCATCATTTTGTGCTACATGTACAATTGTCTTCAAGTCATCTGTGAAAATGGTTTGTTGTTTTTCCTCATCAGCAACTTCATTCATTCGGTCAATGAATTTTTCTGAATAAATATAATTCAAAAGTAAGTTAACCCTGAAGAAAAATAATTTACATTTTAAAACACTAAGAGAATGCTTCACTACTAATGTCATTGGTACTAAAAACCCAATGATATGAAGCAAAAAATATTTTGGAATGTTCTGTCAACAGATGAAATCTCTCTTTAAAAAGAAAAACGGGGGTGGAGAGAGATAAATTGATTCATCTAATCTTGGCTAATTGTTCACCAAATACCATTTTAAATCACCAAGAATTTTTGGAAATATGAATGAAATATAATATATATACAGAAGGATGAAAATCCAAGATGCAATGAAGCCTAGTAAAATGGCAGTACCAATAAAAGATTTTGATACATGTAGACTAAAATATAAGAATTTTCTAGGTTTTAATTTTTGTTGTTTGTCAATCAAAATAAATAAAATAAATTCATCATAAACAATTAAATAAAAAAGGCAAAAGGTTTTCTTCATTGAAGGGTGGTAGCAAAACTGGGTAAATAGAAAGGTGGCACAATTGTATATTTTAACCTTTTATCACTCGGCATGTGACTTCACTTGTTGTAAAAAAATTTTATCCTGCCACTGAAGGTGACTGATCCCTGAACAATGTTTTAATTTCATACTTGTGTTGTCATGTCCTGCTAGGGCAACAAAAAACAACTTTGAGTGAAATTAGCGAAAAGGATACTGCATTTGAGAGACCTTGAAAAAGAATGCAGTGGAAAGGAAAGTAATATTAATAATTAATACTAATATTAATTCTTTAAGCTGTTTCAAGAACAGTTCTGATCACATTATTACAAACAGACAGAAAATTGCAGCATTTTACTCACTGTAAGAGTGAGATATGACCTGGGTTGTCATTTTCATTTTTAATTTCTGCTAAGATTTGATACCACCAAAGTAGTATCCAGGTAGTTGATAAAATTTCAGAACCAAACTGATACCATCCACAGGTTCATTTGCTTAAAGAATTGTTGCAAGTACACCAGTTGCAGGATCCATCTCCTATAACACAGGCAGATTAGACATGAGAATACATCCAATTAAAAATATGGGTAGCATTTCATTTAAGAAGCCCTCAAAGTATTTTAGCACCAGTGTACAGTTTAATGGAGACTGTTGAGTAATGGAGTGCTGAGTTTGAATTCCAGTTGAGTTTATTGCATTCACTTACATGCTAATACCTGTTGGGAAAGGTATGAAGCCATCTCTTTCCCCACCAGCTATGGGTAAACAACAGGAAAGACTGGGCCCTATAGCCTTGGTTGGCAACCAGTCTAGGAGGAAAACTCTGAATTCAAACCACTGAATGTGAGAGAATAGGAGAAAAAAAATTAAGGACAGAGAATAATAAAAGAATAGGAAGTAACGAGAAGTGTGAGAGAAGAAAGTGTTAGCATAGAACTTATGGTTACATCTAGTCAGTTCAATTGTAAAATGATGAGACCTTGCTGCCAATCTAGTAATGTGCATAAATTCATAAAGTCTAAGTACCATAGAAAAAAGCTCATCAGAACAATTACCATGAAAATATTTATAGAAAAGGCATAGGGAAGCTATGTTATGGCCGTGGGAAAGTGACTGAAGCTGAGATGTCAGATCAGTACCAATAACATTGCAAATTCAGAAATTCTGACAGAAAAAAAAAAAAAAAAATCAAGCTCTTAAATGTATTTTTTCCAATTAATATGCAGTAATTCTTGTAGGGCTTTGGAAGGGGTCAGCTGAAAATGTCACAGCCAGAAACCAAAGTTATAACCACTTTATTACAGCTTTCTTCTTAAATTGCTGGGAAATAAATTCTTGATTTGTCTCGTAATGCAAACTTTAAAGCACATTTTACATTAACAGATCAGAAAAAGATAAAGGAGAAAAAGAAAAGGAAAAAAAAGGAAAAGAAGGAAAAAAAAGAAAAGGAAACAAAAAATGTAAAAAAAAAAAAAAAAAAAATGCCAAAGACAACACTAACAAAGGAAAAAACAACAAGAATGAAATAATTTCAAACAATTTCTTTTGTCAACAAGCAATGAGACTATTCCTGATATTTAATTTAATAATGATAATTTTCTTGTCAGAATTTATTTTGCACATTTATAAATTTACCATTCATCCATGCATAGATATCTGATAACATGTGTGATTAACACATATGCTGTTGCATGTGATTTCTTTCCAATTTAATCATTTGACTATGCAAAAACATAGACACAACATATAATAATTTGGGGATGGAAGAAAAGAAACTGACTGCTATATTTACACACTGGAATTTTATTAGTACTCTTCAAATATATTTGTGTATGAGCTTACTTCAAGTATAGTGAAAAACCAGATTTTTTAATATAGCTTGTGTATAATGCAACCCAAACTTACCGTAGGCTTACTGTAGTCAAATATTGCAATACTGGGCATCATTCTGGACATATTTTATAGCAAATAAATAGTCTTCATTCTGTTTTGTACAAACCGACCCCAAAATGGTGAGAAAAGCCTCTTATAAAATATCTGATACGAAAATTTAAATACCATACTTTTGTACATGCCTGATTACAGAAACTACTTTACCCTCGGCCAAGTTTATTCTATTTTGTTGCTACATGAAGAACAAAACTTTATATACTATGTATGCCACTTAAAATCAACAAATACCTTATATAAATGACGAATTAAGAGATTTTTTTTCCTATCTGAAATTTGCCTTCACCATTGCAAATGTTTACATTGTAGAGATTATTGCCTTTCCAATAACAACCTTTTTGTTAGGATAACTGGTACTGTGAGAATGTAGGCCTACCAGGTAGCTTTTAGTCACTGAAAATGCATGAATTTTAACTCCTCCAGAAAAAATTACCTGAGTATAGTGCAACCGGTCACTATACTAATGAATATATAGTCCTCTTCAACATTACCGTCTTTTCCTTATAAACAATTTTTTGGGTTTTTTTTTTTTTTTTTTTACATCATTTTAACATTTTCTGTTTTTTTTTTTTTTTTACTCAAATGTTTGCTTTTGCAAAACCAAGTACAAAAAAAAAATAAAAAAATAAAACAGCATTATCACCTCTCAAGTTTCCAAGTCTGTCATTTATCATAAGACGCTGGCGTTGAAAACCATCCAGTCCCAGAATTTCTTGACAAAACAAATTTCTTTTACCTACAAAAAAGAAAAAACAAAAAGCTCTTGAAACAGAAAGTCCAGTGTATGCAATCTTTGATCTCATTGAATCACAAACAACCTGAAGTAACACATTTGTAATTAATGTAGTTACACGTGATTAAAAACTAAATAATTTATTTAAAGTTAAATTAAAATATTGAACAGAGCGAAAGGTTTAAAAAAAAAAAAAAAAAAAAAAAAATTTCAGATTAGCATTAAAAATTTGCAGAAACCTGTTTATTGACAATCTTAGCTGTTCTTTTTTGTGTCAAGGTTACAGTTCAGCTGACATTTGGTCTTTCCTCTTAATAATAACAACATAAATATTTTGACTTTAAAACTTTGTTTTTATTAGGTTTGGGGCCTTATTATGATCATTACAAAAATAGAAATAAAAACTGCAGAAAGTCCACTTTTTAGAGGGTATTGACAATTTTATTTTGGTCCCAAGTACAGCTTGATTGCCTCAGTCAGGAATCTGTGAAAGCACTCAGACGTTTTGTTTTTTAAATTATCCAGTAAATGAGTAAACTTTCATGCAGTAATCTAGTCTTGTAAAGGTGTACCCAGGATCCAAATAAGATTGCAGTAGATTTCTGCAAATTTTTAATGCTATTTTTGGAATAATAATCAAGCAATTTTATGTACCTCCACTTTTACACTAAAAAAGGCCCCCAAACTTATGTCTGTAATCAAGACCAAATACTTTGAATATATGAATTTAAATGTGCTACTAGATTGGCATTTAGGTTCCAATATTTTACTGTTGAAATAGAGAAATGCTAGTGTCACTTCTATTCCAACAGTTTCTTTTCTTGCACTTCCAATCAGTGGAACTCCCTTATCTGATAACTGCAATCTTCAAAAATTCCAATGTGACATCAATTACCATCTTCTATCTTCTTGAATCATGATCATCTTTTATCCTTTCTTCAATCCTCCCTATTCTCAGTCTTCTCTTTTACTTTCACTCCCTGTAACCCTCTGCGTACTAGTGGCATTCCCTTTCATCTTTTCTCCTTTCCCCAATCCTCCCTATTCTCAGTCTTCTCTTTTACTTTCACTCCCTGTGAACCCCTTGGAATTCCTGCCTTGCTTGGGGGTGAAATGATTAAGAAAAGTCTTTTAAATTCACTTTAATATGCTTAAGTTTTATTATAATTCTCGTCATCGATTTTTTAAAACAAACATTACTAGCAATGGAAAAACTGTTCTTCTGACACAGTTTCCTTTGTGGGAATGAATGTCCAAATTTGCGAAAATTTCTTTGTAATTAAAAACTGAGAAAGGACATTTAATGAATTCCAACCTTGTGAAAAGTAGATGATATCCCTAGACATAGACAGTGGAAAGAGAATAGTCTAACCCTGAATTAAGTAAAGAGTTCAGTTTGGAATTTCCTGTAGGTTACCCAGATTGATATCTACACCTGATGAAGACAGGAGGGCACAACAGTTGTGGTAACAACAAAGATGAGGACGATAGTTCAAATGTAAATAATGATGACTCCTTATTCCAGAAATTCAGACTAATTTTTCATGTTTTAATTATTGTTTATTTTTGGGGGGGACTCTGTAAAATTAATGTTGACCTTAAAGGTATATGGCTTGTGTTCATACTAATGTCCTCATCTTTTCTACCTTATGTCTCAGTTGATCTACTCTCCACCCTCCCCCATCTCTCTTTCCATTCTCCTGATAATTGTCAAAAAACGTTATAATAAATATAATTTTAAACTAAAAGAGATTTTTTTTCTCTCAAGTTAAAAATCACTGGTAAATTTCCATTCTCAAGTTCAAAATAGTGCCGACAGTTCATGGCAGACTATCAATATCCAATGACATTCACAGTGTTATGTTAGCAGCATCTAGTAAAAATAAGAGATTAAACTTTTTATATGTACTTCAGCTATGGAGGGTATACAGTTTCGGAAACCTTCTTTGAATACTTGATCTTCTTGCAAGGATTTCAGGGTTTTGGCTTTCCAGCCATGTGGGTCAGGAGTTTATATAACTTCCTGTAACCTTGTGTATACATTCTGAGTTTACTTCATGTTTATGTTGGTACATCCACTGGCATTTTTCAGGTTAGATTGAGGCTTTGAGGTTACCCTACACAATAAATCCCTGCTTCAATTGGATCTATCAATGTTTTGAGGTGGTGCCAAGTACAAATGTTGTAACTTGTACTCACCAAGAAACTTGGTATTTACTCTGTTTCCGCACTAAGACAGGTTTTGACACAAGGTCTTTTTTTAAGGTGGGGACCCGAGTGTGTACACCTGGGCAAGGAACAAAAATTGCCTGCAACTATCAGTTGCGCTGACCTTGGTGTGAGCACCGATCCCTCTCTCTGGTGCAATGAGAGGGTGCAGCCTTGGGCAGCTGTTCCTCAGGGCTGGGCACCTCTCAGTATAATTTATCTCAGTTGCAACTCTGTCTTTTGACAGAATCGCCCCTGAGTGCACTCTACCCAAAGACAGACACAACTGAGAGATGATAAATAGATGTGTTACAAGCCAGTCAAGTGAGGGGTTTGTAACACAGCTAATTTCTCACCAAGAAATTTAATGTGTAAAGGGGAGGGGAAGCAATAGAATTCAAATAGTTGTGTGGAGGTTGGTCAAGGACAGAAGCAGTGAATCTGTTTCTCTTTGCCGACCAGTTTTTTTATGTTTGCTGCTGTAGTAGATCCAATCTGATTGGTTGGACGAGACTACAATGCATTTCAATGAAACTCACTTGAAAGCTATAAAGGAAATTCCGTTCACCCTCCAGAGAGTTATTGGTTTTTGTTAATCTGTTACTGTCATACTGTTACAAGGACAGACGTTGGTTGTAAGCAACAAGGCAATTTGTTGCAATCTCAAACTATTATTACCCGGGAACACTCTGAAGTTTTGCTACAACAAACAAGAGTTCTATCTTTTTTCTTCTTTTACATTGAGTTTCGGGTACAACATTGTTTGAATTTCCCCCTCCTCCAATCTATCGGCATAAAGAAATCCGACGCAAAGTTTACTTTGGTATCACTTGGTTGTTTTTGTTTAGTGACGTGTAACCCTGGGTTAACCCATAGCTAGAGGGAGAAGAGGTGGATTCATATTTTTTCCAAGAGTATTTGCATGTAAGTGAATACAATGAACCCAAACAGAACTGGAACTTAACAATTCTGAGCCATTATCCATTTACACCAAGTTTATAACAACTGGTCACCCATCTTGTTACTGGCCAGGCTCAATGTGGCTTAATTTCAGTAATTGTATGAAACTAGTTTCAATGTGATGTGGTGATAAGCTGGTATCTCTTGGGATGAACTCAGTACATACATATTAGGGTCACCACAGATCAACTCCTCTTAGGTTGGGATTAAATTTTATTCAGATTTCTGATATTTTATGGTGTTAATCACATACAATACAATTACAATAATTAAACTTAATTTATTTCTAAATTTTGATACTTCACTCTTTTGATTCAACTTTTGCAGGAGACCTTCAATGAGTCTGTTTATATTAATAACTTCATGAGACCTTCAATAAGCTCTACACTCTCTAGAGTCAATATTTTAGAAGGCTTTGTGTAGATACTTCTACAGAAAACATGAAACCTAAAATTTAAAATGACTTTTTAAAAATTAAGTCTTTCTTGAAGCTTTTAGCTTTGATTTCAAGGTAAATAAATTTTATATTCTCCAATGAGTCCTGCTTTTAAGAAGGGTGGAATTTTAATTTCTTGAAATTTCATAAAAATAAAATTAAGTACCGTATACTACGTATCAGTCGACCTTTCAAGACCTAATTTTGAAGCTAATTTGACTACAGTACATGGATATAGAGTTTGGTCAACGGCGTAGCGCCAACAGTACATACGCTAGCGGCTAATCTCGTGTATGATGCGACTCCCTTTTAGCTTCAAAGTTAGATCTTCAAAAGACACATGATACGCTTTAAGAGCGGGGCCGGCAACAGATGTAACAAAAATAAATATTTTTATGAAAATTTTCTAACAGAATAAAAAGAATTTCCAAATAACTTCATTCGTGAATAAGTCCTGCAAATTTCATTAAAATCCGAAAATTATTTGATTTTTGAAAGAATTTTTAAAACTGATTTTTACCGAGAAAAAACAAAAAAAACGCTTAATTTTCCAATCTCATTTTCGGCCCACCCATTGGCGAAAAAGTAAAATTTTTAACTAAAATTTCGAAAAAAAAAAAAAGAATTTAAATTTTAATAATAATAAATAAATACTTGGGCCTTTTAATAATAACAAATATTTCTTGATTTGGCGATAAAATTTTGTTTTTATCAAGTTTGGGTCCTGTTTTCATGATGGTATGCTCTTTTTATTTTTAGCGAATTTTCGGAGGTACCTATTTTTAACCAATTTCATTCCTGACTTGTAAACAAACCCCGATTCTGTAGATCTGTTTCACCCGGCTGCTCTTTTAGTGGCGAAATCTCAACAATTTCAAGGAGAACCTTGGTTACTGGCACACTTGGCAGAAAACCAACGGGATAACACTAGTAACGTAGCTGAACTTAAAGAAAAGGTAATTAAGAGATATTACTTTATTATTTGAAGGAACCCAGACACGGAAAAGCAGGTACGAGCAAAGTTGCGATAACTTGAAGCAAGTTGAAAGGAAAACAAAACGAACCCAAGGGAGACAAATATTTTCAAGTTCATTTCGTAAGTAACCGAAGTAAACCTTTAATTAAAATAAAGTTTATTAATGAATGTTCCTGACACAGTATTAAAGGATGTAAACAAAGGGTATTCATTAAAAATATAAGTGAATTTCTTTCTTTCTTTGAAAGTTTTTCACTTAGGTAGTAAACACTAAAACAATCCTTGACCTTAACATTTCTTTATTTTCTCCTTCATTCACGAATGGACAAATAGTGACGATATTAGCGATAAACTGGAATTTTGATGACGGGCTTGAAGAGAAATCATTAATAAACGGAATAAGAAAAGTGTATTTATAAAATAAAAATACAATCTATCTAGAAAATGAAACAAGTCCTTTTAAAACCCCACATACAACACGTTAACAAACGCCAAACAAAGTTCTGGTTAAAGTATTAAATAACTTAATATAACAATTTAATGCTTACATTGGAGAATTGGTACATAATTCTGCTGGAGAAAACGTTGTGATGATGAAATAAAGAAACTAGCTCCTTGCCGTGAAAAACGGAGCACATGGGGTAGAGAGAAGGCCGCCATGTTTAGTAAAAGCAGAAGTGACGTCACGGAGTAAGCGGAAGTGATGTCATAGAGTCTCCCCCACCACCCATCTTGTCAATTGAAGCCGGCAGACGACACAGTAGCAAAACTCACCAACGTGGTTGTTGCTTTCTCTCCTCTTTGCATTTTGCTCGTCGCGCTAACTCGAATAAAGTAACTTAAGACTTTTGTTCGTACTTCTCAACTTTTGCACTTGTTTTTACTTAAGAAAAGGAGAAAAACAAAAATAATAATGAATTATTCTCCGGATGACATTGTTTTATTGGATCGAGGGAGCGATACTTCTGTTATTGTTCATCTTCATGGTAAGAGGAAAAAAAATGTTTTTTTCTTTTTTTAATTCAAATATTTGCTTTAAAAAGTAACTTAGTTTGGTTACACAAACTTTTTTTAAGTAATACATTTAGTACATTTCTAAAAATGTTTAACTTACCAACTTTTTCAACTCACAAAAATTGTTTAAATCTTTTCCTTCACATTTGTTTTTTTTATTTTACATAAAAAAATGAATTGTAACAAAAAATGTAAATCACAACAAATTGCAAATATATTTAAATTCAAGAAAACCTATTTTTCTTTTTTTATTTATTTATTAATTAAAGTTTATTTTTAATTTTTAGGTAAAAATTCTTAAAATGAAAAGAAATTAAAATTACTTAAAAAAAAAAAAATTATTGAAATTTCTGCGAAATTAAATCTCTAATTCTAGTTTAATTCAAAAATAAAAAGCAAATAAAAAATTGTCAAAATCTCTAAAAATAAACTTTCCTTTTTTTTAAAAAAAATGATTTAGTTCCTTAATAAAATCGAAGTTAATTTGATGTTGAAATATTTAAAAAAAGAAATTCATTTTTGTAGACAAATAATATCAATAATAATAAACGTCTTTTTAGAATTCCATTTCTAAGAAGAGAAGCTGTATTCTTCTTCTTCTCATTGTAAATAAAATGGTAAGTAATGAGCAGGTCTCTGTTGCCAGGCAGTATTTTTTTTTGTTGTTGTTGTTGTTGGGTGCCGCCAATAAGAACTTGGAAACTAAAATTAGTTCACATCATTTTCCATAGATGATGAGAGCAACAACAACAAAAGAAAAAAAGTGTTTTCGGGGTCGAGGTTGGGGTGGGGTAGTAGTGGGGCCGGGGGGTTAGGGTAGATGGTGACGGACCGAGGGATAAGTAAGTAAAAAATACTAAGGTTTGGGGTTTTGGGTAACTTTTTTTTCTTACTGTAATTTTTTATCAATAAAATTGAACTTTTATGATTTTTTTGTGGATGCAGAAGTTTAAGTACCACGAATAAAAAAAACTACTACTACTTCAAATCGATTTGCCATTTCCTCCTCCTCATTGTATTGTAAAAAATTTAATTTACAACTGAACCGAATTCTAACAATTAAAAAGAATTCTAATTATGTCGTACAATGCACGCATTTTTACGGGAGATCAGTTTTTAAAACATAGCAAATTTTTATCTGTTTATTTTTAATCATTTCACCCCAAATAAGGGAATAAAGCCACTAAGACGCAAGTGCGTGGGGTATCGAGTCTGTCAGAAAAATAAGGAGAGAAGACGAGATAATGATTGACATCGCATTTTTAATTTATATTTGTTGTTAAAACTCTCTAAAAAAGTTCAATTTGGTTGGTGATAGTTTGAATTGATGTGATTAAAAAAAATGAATTTATATTTTAATTTACAATATCAATTTTTTTTCTTTGATTTGTCAGGAAATAATTAAATTTAGGTTATTTTTTACGTTTTCGCGTATTTAATTAATAATACATCTAAAATTGCCTTTTTAATGCTTTTTTTTTAGTTTAATTAATTTCTAATTAAAATGTTCTGATGAAAAAATTTGAACTTTTTTATTTATACATAGAAATTTTTTTTTTTTTTTCGGAATTTGCCCATATAAGCTTTTAAAAATGAACTTGATGTTTTCAAATTTCATGGAAAACTTTTATGTTTAACTCTATGCACCACTTGTTGAATACTAATTTGTAGGGTGATTTTAAAAAATATTTTCTAAACATTGGTTTGGTAGATAGAATTTTATATACTTTTCCACAAGAAGAAACTACTAAAAAGTGAAAGTCCGTAGTGATGTACGGCGTAGTCTGAATTCATTTTTACCTGAAATTTTCATTTTAAAATATTACAATTACTTAACTACAATTACAATGAGAATTTCAGATCGAATAAAAACACCATTTCATCTTTGTGATTATTATGCCTCCTAACTGAATTGAGTGGTACGCGACAAATTATTAAGTGACTTATGACTTGAAATTTTTAAGTGACTTAATAATTTGTCGCGTACCACTTGACAATAAATAAATGACATTTAAGTTACATAATAGTACACTATTTTTCTATACTCCATTCTCAATCTCGACTGATCAGCATCACAGCGTTTGTTGTCGAAACTTCATTTTTTTTTAAGATTATGATGGCTGCATTTTTAAATCCTCTTTCAGAATGGCATCATTCATTCATTAAACCAACACATTTAGAAAAAAAACAAAAAACAAGTAGCCTTGAATTTTTTAAAAGAAAAAGGAAAAAATATCCTCCCCATTTTTTTTTTTTTTTTTCATGCTTTGTCTTCCTCCATAAATTCATACCTGAGCATAATCACTTTTCAATTTTCATTACTTAGAAAGACATTTCATTTTTCTGTCTGACAATTGAATTGTGTTACTCGTTTAACAAACACTTTGTTTCACAAAAAGAGAACGTGCGTGCGTTTATTGCAGGTTGAAGTCAAAGTGTGTCAATGTATGTATCATATGTAATTTCAGTAATGTAAACAAAAAAAAAACTATAAATTAATTCTGAGATGTAGAGTTGCTTCATAGACAATGCGCTTCTGCTAGAGAAAGATTTAGTAAAAAATCAAATATACAGTATAAGAAAGTCATAGGCATATCCCCCCTCCATGTTTTTCTTTTCCTTTGAGATAAGAAAATTAAACTTAAAGGAATACAAGTTTGAAATACTCAACAAATACATTTTTCATATTTACTTTCTTCATAAAAGTTTTTACTTGCAGTGACTGTTCAGAACTTGAAATATTTGATAAGTGAACAAATTATTTTTCTTTTCAATTATTAAATCTTTGTTTTTTTTTTGTTTTTTCGTTTTTTTAAAGTCGCTATGATGAAAGCAATAAAAAAAATTATACTGATTTTGATGTGGGTTAAAAAAATCCCTTTTAGTTTCGTAAAAATGTTTTGTCATTAAAATAATAATTATTATATTAACTCCAGCTGCAGTTGAAGCTTCAAAATAGTTTCATAATTATTTTTTTTTCATTTTAATTAAAATAGGGCGACACAATTTTAGCTGTGTATTGCTTTTTCCAATTATTTTCGCCATATAACTGTTTCAATGGCTTGCTCATAACTTTTTATAAAATGATTATAAAACTTATATTCATTTTAATATAAATTCACTTGGTCTAACTATATCTCTGTGTCTGACACAATAATTAAAGCTTCTTAAACTAGTTGTTGTCACCTTCTTTACGCCTCCTAAAATGACACTCATTAAAATTTCGCCTCCAGATGAGGGGTGGGGGGTAGAATAGAATGGAAGGAGGGTTTGTAAAAGTAATGTTAAACATTTTTAAAACTACCTGCTTAAAATACCAGTAATCAATACAACGCACGAAAACATAGAAATTACCTCCTCTACTGTATTATATATATGAAGAAATATAGTTTTTAGAGTATGCTATATTTATGGGATAAAGTGCTAAATATCAGAGATAGAGCATATGTAAATGAAATATAACATGAAACAGTCTGTCACCTCGGAGTGTTGACTTCAATGTTATATATATATATATATATAAAATAAATGTGAATGTCTGTGTCACACATTTTCAACTTAACTCCTAGAGGCTGTCAGTTAGTGCAATACTTAAATGCAGCTTTTTGGGTACTTCTGTAGTTTATTGCCAATTGCACCTGCTCCTCCATAACTATTGGGATGAAGGTCCAATCAAGATCCCTCTCCAGAAGCTAGCTTAAATGCTGCCCAATAGGACATTTTTTTAAGCTTTTATATATATATATATATATATATATATATATATATATATATATATATATAACACCCTTGATGTTTTTCCTAAAAAGAAAAAAAATAAGATCATTGACTAAAAATGAATGTCTTCTGAAGCATTCATTAAAATGCAGAATGGATCTCCCCCCCCACACACACACTTTTGTCACTATTTTTACATCTACCATTATTGTCAGTTCTTTATAAATTGTATTATCATCTGAAACTGTGTATCTAACAAATGCTTTGTATCTTTTACATTATTACACCAAATATTTTCTTTTCTTTTTTTTTAAAAATTATATATCAACCTATATTCATTGCTCCAGTTGGCACCTCTATTTGATATGCCAACCTATATTCAATTGTCCCTATATTTGATAGTGTAACGCTGTAACCTATATTCATTGTTTCAGCTGGCTCACTCTATTTGAAAGGCTAACCTATATTCATTGTTTCAGTTGGGTCCTAAAGGCTAACCTATATTCATTGTTTCAGTTGGCTCACTCTATTTACCTCCAATAGAGCAATATAAATAGCTTGTCATGGACTGATAACAAACTGTACAATACTATTTTGTGTAAAATGTGTCTGCATAGGAAGTGGGTCTTATGTGCCATTAAGTGTGGTAAAACTTTTTGAAGATAAAAATAACAATTTCTGTTAAAATGATCCAATTAAAATATGTTACTCCCCCCCCCTCACCGTCCCCCCACTTCAGTATAAATGAGATTGCTATAAAACCTATGGCAGTCTCAAATACTGAGTTGAATTAACTTTGCTATAAATCATTCCTTATTTAAATGTCTTGGGTCAAATGAGTACTAGAGTCAAGATGCTTAAACAAACAGATGACTGACCCAATATAGCCCTTGAGATTGCTGGCATTATTATAGCTTTTGGAATGTGTAATTATTTGAGGAATTCTTCTTTTCTGTATTCATATTAAATGCTCCCATTTATTCTTGATTGTTCTTTAATAATATAGGATATCATTGACTTTTCTTTTCTATTTTTATCTTATGTGATAAAAATAAGATCAAGAGAAAAAAAAAAAAAGTTAATAGTGAAAATACTTTTATGTAAGAATTTGCATAATCTTTTGTAAAAAAAAAAATCATTTCACCTCAAGCAAAGCTTAAGTAATAAAAATACTAACACTATATAACCAGATTTATATTATGAAGTTAATTAGATGACATGGCTATAAGTTTGTGTCAATTACATTAATTTTATG